AAAAAAAAAAAGAATTAGTGCTTTCCAACTGCTGCCAGGCAGGAGGAACTGGCATGGCAGCCTTATGGGCCCCAAAGTTACCTAAGAGGGTAGGGGTCCTGATGTCAGGGAGAGAGTGCCACCAGCTTCAGGGCTAAGAACCTGGAATTCGATCCAGAAGGCATGGGTTCGAATCCCAGATCTTTCAAGTTTCCCTTTTATAACCTACAGCACATCATTTATTCTCTTTGACCCTCAATTTTTCTCTTAAAAATGGAGTAGAAAACCAAAGTTCTGTCCAAGTTCCAGGACTAATCCAAGGCTTAAACCAAAAGGCAGATAGGAGAATACTTTGCAAACTGCGAAGTGCTACGCATGTGTGTGGTTCTACTTCTCATGCACTCACCATGCTAAACACTTTATAGCCATAATTTCATTTAATCCTTGCAAAAAACTCTTTGTGGCAAGATATCAATGAGGACTCTGAGGCACAGAGAGGCTAGACAGCTCGCCTGGGGTCACAGCACTAATGGGTGGCAGAGCCAGGACTTGCAGCCAGGTGTCCCTATGCTGCGCTACAGTGACAATCTCCCAGGTGAGGGGTTGTCATCCCATGTTGGTCAGATTCCTGGAGGAGGAGATAAAGACAACTCATCTAGTCACCAGAACAGTGCCCCCACAACTGCAAGGAGGCCAGCAGGTGGTGTCTTCTCACCTGGAGTCCTTCTCTGACGGCTTCCAGGAGATAGGGGATGATGGAGTAGTTCCACAAGTCGGTGAACCACACTCTCGAGCCGTCCACATCGATGGGGCATGACAGGAAGAGTCGGGGGCCTGGAGACCACAGCGAGAGTACATTAGCACTGAAAGAGGCGTGGGTAATGGGGCATCAGGGGAAGCCATAGTCTGAATACCCCTTACAGGAGGGACCCTGGGCAGTCTGAGTGATGGCAAGACTGAGGCCTGAATGCAGATATACCAGCCCTGGATGGTGGGCACAGAGAAGAATGCTCTGATCCCTGATTCCACCTTGGGGTCTCCCTCCTCCAAGAAAGGCTTTATGGGGAAGACGTGCACTATGGCATTAATAATCTTGATTTTTAAAAACGGAAGCAAATGACTACATGTCCAAAAGAACAGAAACGATTAAGCAAATGAGGGTACATCTGCATTTGATCATTTTGTAGCCTTTAAAAATAATTTTTAAAATGGAATAATTGACCGGGCACAGTAGCTCATGCCTGTAATCCCAGCACTTTGAGAGGCTGAGGCAGGTGGATCATCTGGGGTCAAGGGTTTGAGGCCAGCCTGGCCAACATGGTGAAACCCCTTATCTACTAAAAAATACAAAAAAATTAGCCAGTATGGTGGTGGGTGCCTGTAATCCTAGCTACTCGGGAGGCTGAGGCAGGAGAATCGCTTGAACCTGGGAGGTGGAGGTGAGCTGAGATTTTGCCACTGCACTCCAGCCTGGGCAACAAGAGTGAAACACTGTCTCAAAAAACAAACAAAAAACATTTAGCATTATGAGATACCGCTAAATAAAAAAAAAAAATTTTTTTTGAGACGGGGTCTCGCTCTATTGCCCAGGCTAGAGTACAGTGGTGCAATCTTGGCTCACTGTAGCCTCCGTCTCCCAGGTTCTAGTGATTCTCCTGCCTCAGTCTCCTGAGTAGTGGGGAGTAGAGGCACATGCCACCACACTTGGCTAATTATTTGTATTTTTAATAGAGACAGGGTTTCACCACGTTGGCTAGGTTGGTCTCAAACTCTTGACCTCAGGTAATCCACCTGCCTCGGCCTCCTAAAGTGCTGAGATTACAGGCATGAGCCACCACGCCCATCCAAAAGGAACATGTTCTATGTATGCTATGATTGACACCACTACATAAAACATATATGTATGAACAAGGACAGAAGAAATAAGCTCAAATTAAAATTATGTCAAGATGGTGACATGATTAGTGATCTTTTTTCTCTGTCCTAAATGTCCAGCTTTCAGAAATGATGATAAAACTTTATTTTTCAAGCAAAGCCAATCCCAGAGGGTAGCTTCAGCTTGGGGGAACCTTGAGGTAGGGGCTCTTTAGTGAGTCAGCCATTTCTATATCGGGCCAGGCTGGACACATCTCTCTTCTGCAAGACCGCTAACAGTCTGGGATCTACCTGGTCTGTGACTGTCCCTCTGCCCCCGTTTCTATCTTTATGGACAGTCCAGCTTCTGCTGACTGTGCCTGCAGAGTGCTATCCTGGCCAGGGCCCAGAGGATGGGCACCTGAGGATGCCAGCCCCCCGCCCCCAGTCTCCCACCCACCGATGGTGACGTCTGAGGAGCTGTGAGCCTCCAGGAAGCGGTTGAGGTGATGCCAGACCTTGGGAATCCAGTCGATGATTTTTACCAGCTCCATATTCCGCACCCGCCCACTGATCTCTGTTTCCATGAGCTTCCTCCTCAGGAACCGGCCAAGGAAACCCTTCACAGGCTCCGTGTGGTTGGCACAAAGCACCCATCTGGAGGAGGTCAGAAAAACTTTTCAAGATAATGATAGTGATCCAAGTGATGGCTGACCTCAGGAACCAAAGCATGTTAGAAACAGAAGGTGTACGTGCTAATGCAAAAATTGGGTTCGCTATGCACCGAACACTGTTCTAAACACTGCAACTATGTATTAACTCACAGTTCCTCATAGCAACCCTCTGACATAGATGTTATCACCACCCTTGTTTTACATACAGAAATGGTGAGGAACAGACAGGTCATGTAACTTGTCCAGGTTCAAACAGCTAGTTAATGGAAGAACTAAGATGAGAACCAAGAAGCCTGGCTCCTGAGGCTAGGCTCTAACCACTGAAATAAATTGCCTTTGGTGCTTGGTGCCAGGCCCTGTGCTAGGCTACGGAGCTATCACTATGACTAAGACACAGTCCTGGTCCCCAGGAGCTCACAGTCTGGTGGAAGAGGCAGACAGGCAAAGAGAGAAATGAAATATGATGAGGCCTAAGGGAATCAGGGAAGGCTCCCAAGAGGAGGGGATGTCTAGGCTGAGACTGTATAGATAATCAGCAGCAACATAAGGAGAGGAAGGAGCAGGTGTTGCGGTGAGGAGTGGGGTGATGCTGCAGCATTTGCAAAGGCATGGGAAATAGCATGGGTGTTTGGAGAAACTACCAGAGGTTTAGTGTAGCTGAAGTTCAGACTTGACCTGCCAACCCACGGAGTCTGGATTTCATCCTGCAGGCCATAGGGAGCTACTGAAGAACTTTAAGCACAAGAGTTCTACGGTCAGATGTGCACTCTAGAATGTTCACTCTGGTCGGGCTGCCACAGTGTGGAGGATTGCCTGCAGGAGGCAAGCCGCAGGCAGATATACTGGCTAGAAGGTAATGGCAATGGTGTGCTCGGTGATGATGGGGCAGTGATGGGGGAAGAGGAGGAGGATGGATTTGGGGGATACATAGGGGAAAGCATGAACAAGACTGGGACAGCCTAAATGCAGAGGTGAGCCAAGCTCTCAGTGTGCTAGAGGAGTCAACATTTCTCTGGTAATTACATTCAGACACACTTTCATTAGATCTCCCTCAGAGATGCCAGTGGAAATGAGCCGGAAGTCCCAGCCCAGGAGACAGCTTCACACCCACCTCTAAGGGCCCGGGCAGGAGAGGTGGAGTCAATTGAGATTCAATATGGGGCAAAGGGTGCTTGGCAATGCCAATCAGGCAGCAATGCAACCTGGCAAAACAGAGGTGAACAGTCCTTCCCATGCCCTGGTCGCAAGAGAGGACCAGGGGTAGGGAAGACAAGCCAGCAGGGAGTCACAGCAGCTGGGATTCGCTATAGACCCCATTAAGTGAGGACATTTTAGGTAAAAGCTGTCATTACTCATGCTCATTTGGGACAGAGAAACACCATTGGTAACAAGCAGGGCAGCAGGGGCACCTGCAGTCCCTTCCAGAGCTGCCCCCTTGACCCTGCAACGGCAGGACTCAGAGTCAGAGACCTAAGTGCACATTTCCACTCTACCACTGACCAGTGTGTGACCTGACCCAAGGCACTTAAGTCTCTGGGCCTCGGTTTCCCCATTTGTAAACTGAGAGTGGTAAATGTAATTACTTGAGGCTGAAGTTAAAATTAAATGAATTAAGCTGAAAACAATGCTTAGCAATACCTAACATACAACAGACACTCAACACAGGCTTCTCTACTCGCCCCTTCTTGCCTTCCTTCCTTATGATTCCACAGTTTAACTGGACAAGGGAAGTGAAAACTTACCTGAAGTTATGATGAAGCTGCAGGTTGGGAGTCGAAGAGGTAGCCTGGTTCATTGTGCCGATTATGTAAGGGCTGTGGGTAAAACAAAAGGAAAGAAAGCTGTGAGTCGAAGCCAAGCTAGAGAACAAGGCGCTCACAGAGGCCAGCGGCCCTGTGCATCTAGGCCGGTGGATGGCGAGCCGCTGCCCCTCCCAACCCTACGCATGGACACAGCTTCACTCCCACACCGGCCCCAGGCCACCTGTGTGCACAGCGCCCCATCAGGTAGCAGCACTCTCTCCCTGGGGCTACAAGGTCCAGAACCAGCCTTTACCATTTGTGGTACTTGCAGTTGAGCAGCCCATTGAAGATCTCGCCCAGAGAGCTCACATGATGTAGGTTGTCCAGGATGATGACGAGGGGCATGTCCACAGCGTTGTTCTCACTGTTGCACTGGTCAGCAAGGTTGGACAGGTACTGGCGCAATTCCTATGGTGGCCAGAAGGGCCAAAGGAGAACAAGTTGGTGAACGCACCCAGTAAAGACACACCTGCTCAGGGTCTTTATCTCACCTAGGCCAGTGGAGGCGGAAAGGCCCTTCATGATGCTGTGCTGTGAACACATTCTGGGTGCCTGCCTATTACAGGGCATTGGCTTGGTGCTCAGGGGAGGCAGGGTGGGCATGGGATGAGTAAGGCCTGGGTCCTGCCTTCCAGTACTTACCTGATAACTGAAAACCTTGACCCTGGGGCTCTTACCATGCCCAGGCATGGTTTTTATTACTGTTTGACCATCTTCTCCAGAAATCCTGTTACTTTTCTTGACATTTCTCACTATGCCAATCTCCCAGTAGGCTCCTGGGTGCCCTGTAGGTCTTGGTACCTCCATAGCACCTGCCTGAGAGCTACATACACAGAAGCCCTCTACACATCAGAGCAATAGAGGAGCCAGACACACACTTAAGTCACGCTGAGTAGCGCTGGGAGATGAGTCTACATGCACTGGGCTTGGGGAAGTCCTGCTGAAAGGGCAGGCTTTGCATTTTACCTTGGAGAATGGGTGGGGCATTGGCTCAGCAGGGACTAGAACACAGCCCTGCATGCCTGGCGTAAGGGATGCATGTCAAAAATGGAAGAGGAAGAATAATGGCACATCAGGGAGAAAGGCTGAAACAGCAAGATAAGGACCTGGCAGGGAACCTAGGATGCCTGCCTGCCATTACTGTCATCATCATGAGAGCTGGCATCACTTACAGCCAGGCAGGCCTTTAAGAGCCTTACACACAGGAATTTCTGTAGCTCCACAATAAGCTAGGAGGCGAGTACTATGATTGTTTCCATTTTATAGATGGAGAAGCTGAGGCATGCTACGAGCAGGTGCCTAGCCTGAGAGGGTACAGTGGGCAAGCAGTGGGCATAGATCAGACTTGGGTACGTGCCCCAGTCTGTGTCTTCACCACACTGGCCTGTCTTAGATGCTAGCCTGCTTGTCTGGGGGTAACATTTTCTCCACCTCCTACCAGCACCTGCCCGCCCTGGGCCTCCATTTTTAGTCAAAATATGGCTTATTAGCAACAGAAAAAGCCCACCTTTTAAGTGGCTAGTTCTTTTCGTCCGTCTTCACTATGAGCCCTAGGCCCTAGGCATTTGATTCTCCCTGCCTGGGGAGCCTTCACTTACTGGTCCCGGGAGAAGTTCCCTAACTCACACAAAGGCTTTCAACAGAGGGGCTCTGGGTACTTCTCTCTTATCCCGCACCTACATCAAGTTACTTGGGGAATTTGTGGATGGTGCAGATACCCAGCCTCAAACAACCTAATGAAATAGATCATCAAGAAGTGAGGTCTAGGAACCTGTATCTTCAAGCACACTAGGTGATCCTTAAGACAAAGGAGTCATTTTCAATCCACCTTTGATCCTCTGGCCCCTTTGAATAGGGCCAGCTAGAGTCAATTATCCATCTGTGCTCTATATGCATGAATGAACAGGTCTGATATCGCACTTTCCAACTCTTGGCTGGGACTAGGTCAGACTGCAAACATGCAGTTTCCACTGCTCACTGTGAAGCAGGATCCAACCTATTGTGGCCACAGGGCTTTAGAGACTTTGACTTGAGCTTCAGTACTCTACCAGTTAGTACCATCTGAGTGGTCTTAGGCACAGGACCAACCTGTTTCCTTCTCTGCAAAATGGGGATAGTGATAAATACCCTCTTGAAGGTATTGCTATGAGAAGGTGTTTGCTGGTCATGGGGCAAGCAGTCCATAAATGTGGGTTTCTATTATTTTTATTATTGTTATTTTTGTTTCTGGTCTTATCATTATTGCTGTTCCACAAAATATATTGGAAAAATAGCAACACCCAGTATGCACATGATAAATTCTTGGCAAACTGCAACAGATGTATCTTGGATAACATTAAAGAACTACTAGCACTGAGCATCATAAATGAGCTCAATTGGCTTAAACACAGATGGAACTTCTTACTGGGAGGATCAAAATAGAGCCTTCCTCTGTTAGCCCCCTCCGGACCTCTTTCACGTGGCTTTCTAAAACCACCTAAGGAGAGCTGATAGGAAATGCTGCTTTCCTATCAGGCTAGAGGTGATATTATCAGTTTTGAAAGGGTCAAAAAATACAGCAAACTCAGAATGACCTCCTCACCTTGCTGGACTTATGGTCCACGTTAAAAGTGGCGATAACCCCGTCCGTCAACTCCCGTCCCTCTCGAAGCACCATATACTCAGACAGCCGGTTGGCCAGGTAGGTTTTCCCAGTGCCGCTGGGGCCAGAGAGAATGATTCGACGGTGCTCCATCAGCAGGGAGACGTAGCGCTGCAGGATGGGCTTGGGGATCAAGGACTCAAACACCAGTGAGTCCAGGCTGTTTTCTGCAAGCCCTGCATTTGAGAGAGATAGGAAACGTCTGAAGCCCTGTAGAAAAGGTGGCTCTCTGTGCTTGCCTAACTGGGACTGCCAACACCTGAGGCCATACCTTTCCTTGGCAGTCCACTCACCTGAGACGCCTGCGCACCCAGGGACAATGGAGGCTGACAGCAAACTGCTGCTGCTGTAGGAAGTCACCTACCTGTTCATCAATGCCATGTGCTTCTGGCTCCCGTCTCGGCTAACTTCCCAGATTCAAACTCACCTTGAACATTTGGGCTCTTAGTCCCCATCTGTCCTCTGCAGAATTCACAAAGCTCTGGGCTCTATTTGCCTGTCTGGGTTTACTATACTTACTATACACACACAAACACCCTACTATATATATATATATATTTACTATACATATGCTATATATGCTATACCTATGGCATCTGCAAAACCAAACCTGAGTCTTTTCTGTCACTTGTCTGTCACTCCGAGGCTGCCTGTTCACCCTGCTCCCTCCCACATGCCAGGTACCACTGCTATCCACACTAAGATGCGCCATGAAAGCAACAGTACTTTTATCTTTAAAAGGAGGAAAAATGCAAGGCTAGATCACTGGATTCTGGAATGTGAATACGGGCAGACCTGGCCTGAAATGCTGTGAACTGGGACTCTTGGTCCTCAGCAAACTCAAGTGGAAACTTATCCTTCCCATTTCCTACCTGGGACAATGTCATTAATCAGGATTGTTGGCTTTGCAAGAGGTATATTTTGGATACTGTCTTAAGAGAAGATCCATCCAAGGTTAGCGTCCAGAACCTCAGGTTATTGTTTAAAAACTACTCTCAAGAAACCAGCAGAATTAATAAAAAGTCAACTGAAGAGTATTTACTGTTTTATAATAGCATTTTCCAGGCCGGCATGGTGGCTCACACCTGTAATCCCAGCACTTTGGGAGGCTGAGGCAGGTGGATCACCTGAGGTCAGGAGTTTGAGACCAGCCTGGCCAACATGGTGAAAGCCCATCTCTGCTAAAAATACAAAATTAGCCGGGTGTGGTAGTGTGCGCCTGTAATCCCAGCTACTTGGGAGGCTGAGGCAGGAGAATCACTTGAATCCGGGAGGCGGAGGTGCAGTGAGCCAAGGTTGTGCTATCGCACTCCAGCCCACGCAAAAAGAGCGAAAGAAACTTCACTGAAAAAAAAAATAGCATCTTCCTTCGACATACTCATTCACTGCTAGCAGATCCCCCCAATGCATTATGTTCATTTCTAGACTTCCCCTAATCAAGTAACCCCTAATGTAGTGATTCCTTCAGAATAAATGGGACAAAGACCCCCAGATGCCTTGTCTACTAGGGACAAGCCTAAAAGTTTCCTTCTACTGAGCTCAATGTAGCATATACCTGCTCAAACCTCGATGCAAACAAAGTATGGAGTGTAGGGCCTCCAGTCTAAACCTGATAATAATAATAATAATAATAATAATAATAATAAAACACAGGAGAAACCCACTAGAATGCCCCTCTGAACATACACTGCTCTGTTTCAGTCTTCTGCCATAAACCCCACAGAGAGTGACGATTTTGCTCATGAGCTCACTTCAGGAAATGCAAAGTCAAACCCCCTTCCCTGGTACCACTGAAGTGAATCACTGACGCTCAGGCAACTCTTTCAGCTCAAATCCTCGCGCGGTTTTAGTGCCTTGAAGGCATAAGTTTTAAGCACTCTAGGAAAGAGAAGAGTCAGGTATCACTGAAAAACCTGAGCTGATCCCTTGAGGTGCTAAAACTTGATGTGCTGACGGATCAGGCTGCGCGGATGGGTGGCACGCTCCACTAGAGGTAGGTAATCTTATCACCTTCAAGAAAGGTTTGGTCTGGTCTCAGCAATAGGCCATTCCTTTTACCCCTCAGTGCTTTGCAATGCTCACCTGTAAAACCAGCAAGTGAACGTTGCATGCCTGGCAGGAGGGATGAAATGCAATTTGAACCCAGGACGGAAAAGGCTCTCCTTAAAGAGTTCTTGCCGAGGACAATTGTTCCAGTGTGCCTGGTGCCCCTTCCTGCCTCCCCTCATGGTAGAGTTCTTCTTTCTCATGGGAGCTCATTCCTGGTGGTTCAAGTGGAACCAGTCCGGCTCCTCCATCCACCCAAAGGGATGGGCTTGTGGCCAGGCTTGGACAAATCCTCTCCCTGGTCATAAGGACCAATTCCACGATGGGCATTTGACTTATAGTGGGCCAGAGTCATCCCTAGGAGTTTTCTGTTACATTTTCCCCAAAACACCTTTTTCCTCCAGGTTCCTAAGCTAGAGGAAAGAATTGGGCTACCAGGGGCCATTTCATCAACCATGTTAAAGAGCTCATTAAATAAACACAGCCCGTGACGGGCAAAGCTGAGGCAAGCCTGGTCCTGATTCATTGTCTGAGCACCTGGGTCCAGCCGTGCTTGAAGTGTACTCCTGGATTGCCCAGGGCCAGGAGCCCGTACATTTCCTTTTTTGCTATAGCTACTTTTGAGTTGGTTTCTGTCATTTATAGTCCAAGAGCACAATTGTGGAATTTCACTTGCCAGCAGGAGAGGGCTGTGTGAGGCTCAAACAATATGTACCACTTGCCACCTGCAGAGCAACATCTTAATTCCTGCTGATGGAAAATGGTGCGGTGCTTGTGGAAACTCTACCATCCAGGAAATACACCTTGCATCAAATGACTGCAAAACTGCAGTCAGGAGCAGTGCCTTTCAGGGAAGAAAGAAATGGAACAGCACAAAGACGGAGCCTAGTACAGTACTGATGAAAGTTTATATTCAGGTGGTCCATAACATACAGGAAATGATGGGGTTTTACAATCAAATAAATTTGGGACAGATTGGATTAAACAGCCTTTTTACCAGCAGGAGTTAGGACATTGAATGACAGAGCCTTTGATGTACCAGTGCACTCTTGTCCCCCAAAACACAAGTGGGGACTATGATGTAGTTTTCCAGAATTGCTTGGCCGTGAAGCCTTTTTTTTTTTTTAACCACAGTGAACTTTGTGGGCCTAGAGTTCCAAGGAATGCACTGGCCTGGGGCTTAATATTGCTGGGTAATGAGAAACCGGAAGCTCTAGCAGCATCCTGCGTGGGCATGTGCTTCAGTAGTTTCATCAGGATGCTCAGAGTGACTCCTGTAGCCTACAGCAAGTCGTGGTTTTCCCATCTGTAGAATGGGACCGTGTCCAAAGCTTGCCGGCAAGAGTAATTCATCAGTATCAGTAGAGCCCTATTTCAACAGGGTTATAAAAATTCCATCATCTCAGAGTCATAAGGCTAATGGGTTCTTTTGTTAGATAACTGCAGCAGTAAACTAAAATTATTTTGTTTCCTAAGGTGATTGAAAAAGCAAAAGACTGTTCAACTTGCGTTGGTAAGTCTAACTGTGGCGTAAGGGAGAAAAGCAGCCCGCAAACATGTACAAACAAAACTGTGGCCACAAGTGCCTAGGCCAAGTCACAAAATGGAAATGGCAATTCCTGAAACTCTGCAACCAGCTCAATTACCTTTGACAGTCACCGTGATGGTTGTGTTCTCTCCAACCAGATAGCCACAAGGAAGCAGCTCCGGTGTTTCGGAAGTGTTGCTACGCTTGATTTCTCCAATGCTGTAGCCAAGAACACTGTCTGAATTCAGCCCTAGCTGACTCACTGGGTCGACATGAATAATGTATTCCTGGAAAAAATAAAGAATAAAGACCCCATCAAAGATGTGGCTAAAATCTGCCCATGAATCATGTTTTCATTGGGTGATTTATGATCATCTTCTCTTCTTTCTCAGATGTCTGGGTTGAAACTGAGCTGTGGGATGAGGGGGAGAACTGATTTTCTGTGGGGATAATGCCCTAGTACCACAGGCCTCTTAAAATACAGATTTATTTGGTTAGGAATGGGAAAAAAAAAAAAAAAAACCCTAACAAGATTGTGAACGTTTAGTCTGGATGAACCAAGCACGGAAAAGCTAGGCTGCTTTTCCTAAGTTCCGCTGAAGTGTTGAAGACATCAGGGCCTGTGAATGGTGCTGGAAAATTCACGAAAAAGTAATTTTGACAGGAAATCTCTCTTCCATCCCCTTCTTTTGGCTCAAAGATCATACAAAGAGATTAAAATGCAGCCTGCTAGAAAAAATCAGCTCTAGATCTTTAAGAAGGAAAATGTGTGTCTAATTTGGAAAGTGTTCCCTCTTGGTTGAGTGAACAAAAGGTTTTAGGTTAATAAATGCAGAACTAAGGTTCATGTACCAGGAGGTGACTGCATGATGACTTAGGTGGAATCCCAGCAACAGGCCTTGAATGGTCTCATTTCCTCACTTACTATGATACCATGTGCCCCTTTTCAGCCCAAACTGCTTTTCTAATCCAAAAATGTCCCAACTGCCCATCAGCAGAGATAAGTTTTTGGCCTCGGTAGGAGAATTGGTCCAGTGTAAAGCATTCATATGTCTTTTCTGGTCTCATTTCTACAGTCTGGCTTGCCAGGATGCGGAACAGTCTCCACTCAAAAAGCAGAATTTTCTCTGTATGAGGCTACCTGGATCTAGCTGTTAGAAAGAAACTACAGTGTACTATTAGGTTGGTGCAAAAGTAATTGTGGTTTTTTGCCATTACTTTAAATGACTCGCGAGGTGACCCATGAGGTCTTTTCCCATTTATTCAAGAGATAGTCATTCAAAGCGTCACTGGGTTTTAATGGCAAAAACTGCAATTACTTTTGCACCAACCTAATAGTTAAGTGGTTTTGAAGTACGACCACCTAAACTGATCAATGTGGTCTAATTCTACATCCATGACCTTGTACAAGTACCTAATCTGAGCCTCACTTTCCTCACCTTTAAATGGGAAAATAAGGGGCTTGGCATAGTCTCTAGTATAAAAAATGTGGGCTATGGACCAGGCTCGGTGGCTCACGCCTGTAATCCCAGCACTTTGGGAGGCTGAGGCGGGTGGATCATGAGGTCAGGAGTTCGAGACCAGCCTGGCTAAGATAGTGAAACCCGTCTCTACTAATAATACAAAAATTAGCCAGGTGCAGTGGCAAGTGCCTGTAATCCCAGCTATTCAGGAGGCTGAGGCAGGAGAATTGCTTGAACCTGGGAGGCGGAGGTTGCAGTGAGCTGAGGTCCTGCCACTGCACTCTAGCCTGGGTGACAGAGCAATACTCTGTTTCAAAAAAAGAAAAAAAGAAAACATGGGCTATTACTACTACTCAGGAAATATGATTAATGAGCATTTATAGTTGTTTACCTACTTCAGGATCATGGAAAAAATGTACCAAAAGCTTCTTTCAAATCACTTTGTGTTTCAAGGTTCACCTTGGTACTCATTAGTTATTTATCCCGTGGCAAACACCCAATCTAATGATGTGATTAGAAAGAATAGAGAAATAGGTATGGCAACATCCTTGAGCCTGGCCATCGATCAGAAATTAATGTCACTTGTAACACAAATCAGAGACTTTGAAGTGTTGGCACAGGATACCGGGCAAGTCAGATCAAATCCCTCAAAATAAAGGATAGAAATCTGACGTCTAAGCCCTAGCCACAGATTACATACTCCAAAACATTATGTCATAGGACACAATTCTAAGGTGAAAAGAGAGTTGGACATTAGAAGTTCACTGTGAGAGGATCAAAGAGTTACTCAAATAACTCTCACTAGCTGGCCCACCACTGCAAAGGGCAGATGGAAAGAATTTGGCTGATCACCAGTGTGTACTTACCACCGTCCTTCCATCCCTTTGAGGGCCAGGGAATAAGTTTCAGCAACATAAAGATGTAGAGAAGGGGACAGGTCTGAGAAATGGCCAAGCTCGGGACATCAACCTCTCTCTGCCTCCCCAGGCCCAGCTGCCCACGTTCGGTATTTTGCTGTAGCCACCATCTTGAAACACTTACTTTGAACAGCCGTCTAACCACCCCATCGAGCACATCCCACTTCGTCTTGCCACTAACTCCAATGCAGCCAATAAGAAAGAGGTGTGGTCTGGAATCCTAAGGGTAAGGAAATGTACACAGGTGAAAAACAGTTGGGTCTTTTCTGATTCAGTTCAGCAGAGGCTCAGGTTGCCTTAGAACTCCGCCAATGATTTGAGAGGGGAATAAAATTCCTATTTGTATTAATACCAGGTATAACTTAGGTGGAAGTAATAGTCTTAATACCTTTCCCTGCTTTACTGTTAAAACAGCAGTCCAAGAGTCAGGAAGAGAGGATTTCCTCTCTGGAATATGGAACCTTTTGCTATGTAAATGTGTCAGACAGTGCATAAATCACATACTCCTTGTCTGGAACTCTCTCCACACCTGTCTGCCACCTCTTTCTTTTCAAACCTTGCTTACAAACTCACCTCTTCCAGGAAGCCTTCAGTGATTAACCCCATCAGGCTCAGAGCTTAAATTGCTTTGGAGATTCTGCACATAACTTATATAATGATATATTCTGCACTGACTTACATTTAGTTTTAGGTATTTCTGTCTTATTTTTGCATATCAAGTTTATCTCCTTACTAGATCTTAAACAGTATCAGGACTGAATGTGTTACTTTCTTCTTTCTTGTTTTAAAATAACATTTACTGTTTTTCTTCTTGTTAAAACTTAAAACGTGCAACTCAGAAAACTTGTAAAACTCTGGGAAGAATACTCTCAAAACAATCTTTTCGTAATTCTTTTTGCATCTCTGTTCACAGGGCTATGCCTAGTGGCAGCTAATCACATCACACTGATAAAGGCTGATAGAACATGCCACTCTATTGGGTTTTAAATACCTTACGTGCTCATAAGGATGTAGAGTCAGGAGAGTGGGTGGGAGGGTGACATATGGCAGCTAAGCAAAATCAGCAGAGAAAAGAGCACCAATCTTGCAGTTACATGATCTAACCCCACCACTTGCCCCGGCCTCAAATAAGTAATGCTTGGCGTTTTAAGTTTCTCAATTGTAAAATAAAGGATAACAATCTCTGGTCAACTAACCTAACGGATGCTGCAGTGATCCAGAATAATATAACTTCTGAAGGTGACTTGTTAACTTTTATAAAATGTATGCTCTATCAGTTCATATTGATGATCACTAGAATAAATAGTCCACAAGGTGTAACCTGCATTTACTGTAAGAATGAGTTTCCCGATAGTCCATCACTCTACTAGCTATGTTTTGAAAATAGAGCTGTTTATTGCATATTTCAAGGCTAGATGATGCTAATGGAAGTGCCAAAATCCTGGGCTTACCCCCTATAGTGAGACTAGCAAGCCAGTCACAAAGCGGAATCCCCCGGCTACGAAAGGTCTGGTTACAGACACTTTGTTCTGTGGGTTCCCTAGCTGTCTGAAACTACAGTAGCATGTTAGCTAGAAATACTAAGAAACAACAAATAAAAAACCCAAGGGAACTTGAGATGGTGACTCATGAGGTCTTTTCCCATTTATTCGAGAGACAGTCATTGAAAACATCACTGGGTTTTAATCACTCAGTAAAATTCAACTGTCAATGTCAACTCTAGCCCCCACCCGAAAATAGTTTCTGGCAGTGGTATAGACTTTGGAAGTTCCCAGACTTTGGAAGTGAACAGAAACCATTCTAGGAAAACTCAAGATCCCCCAGCCTTGGTGAGTCAGGACACCCCACCAGCTCTATCTTCAGCCACCTGCATGCTCCCAGAGCTTGGCACCTCCATCTCTTGGGTGTACCAAGCTGTCTACTCTTAGTGACTGATGACTGATAAAACTGGTGCTCTTGGTCTGCTACATGTTACAGCTTATTTCTGAACCTTACATGCTAAACGTGCATAGCTGCCTCTAAAGTGCTTTGGGAGTATATTACATTCAGAAAACCCCTTTCTGGTGGATGTTAGCATTTAGTTAATTATATGAAAGTGAAATGTGGGACCATTAGTGCTCTTTATTAGACTTTCAAACACACAAGAAAGGGAAATGCCATTCGCACACTTTACTTGTGTCAAAATGCTGCAAGGGATTATGGTTAGTTAAGAGAAGCGTTAGTAGTATTTCCAAATCACCTTAGGCTCTGAGGTGATACAGGTTTTACAATTAGATCACTAAGCTAGGTAGTTCTACCTGGGAGAGGGACAGGCAGAGCAGGGAAAGGGATCCAACTAACCTCCTTCCACTTCATTTCCTCCTGAAAGCTGACAACTATCTTAACATGCCTGCCTCCTTCCTTCCGAGCCGAGCATTCACCAGTGTCATCCAGCAACATGTCTGCGAATGGAAAACATCAACAGCCTTAGGCACATGGGGACAGCAAAGCCAGCTTCCTGACACCCCCACTGCTGGGTGGCACAGCAGCGGGACGAACAGGTGTCGGGTGCAGGGGGTGGGGGGTAGAGGAAGAGGAGAGGGCAAAATGGAGAATGCAATCACAGAAACCAATGGTGGATCAACCAAGGAACCAGCAGGCTGACAATGCACCTTGCCGGATGGAAGTGCGAGGGAGAGACTCAACCAAAACAACAGCAACAGCAGCATCATGGATAAAAAATAAAAGCATCAGCCTCGATATGCTTACAAAGAAAACCTAGATCATGTTCACTGATGGTTGCACCAGCCTGGAATCCATCCTGAAGGCAGGAAGATTATAGACCAAGCCATTGCCCCAACTGGGACCTGCTACTATGGGGTTTGTATGCAGCATTCAGCTCGCAGGTAAGCCTTTTAAAATGGATCAAACAGAACTTAGCATGGTGGGCAAGGGAGCCAAGCTCAGGGCTTGGAGAGTTTGGGGCACTGGAGCAAAGCATGAGAGCAGTCTAACGGCTGGGCTCATGTTGGCAGCAGACTCACACCCAGACACATACACACCCCAAGTGCACACACGCCTGTTGCCTCTCCATTTGATCTGTTGATCTGCTTATTTTGGGGCTCTCGCTTAGAGATCAGGATGCCAGCTGTAGGTCCAGTCCTGCCCCCAAGCCCTGTGAGCCACTCACCCAGGCTGGTTGACTCAGTGAGGTTCAAGCTGTGCTGGGAGAGGCCCATGGACTGCCTCGGAGAGGCAGAGATGGACACTTGGGAAGGAGCCCGGCTGCAGCCACTGCCTTGAGACTCTGACTTCAGCCGGTCATTCTCAGCTTTCAGCTTCTCTATTTCACTCTGCAAAGAGTAATGGAGAAGCTTACTTAGTAGGCAGAAGTAATATGAACAAGATTTTTCTGAAGGAAGGATCTGAAAGTTCCCTGCAGAAACCAGGTTGGTCTCCCACCCAAAGCAAACAACACCCTCAGAGAGATTCAGCAGTGTTTGCTGACCCTGCTGTAGACACAAGGCATGCGGGCGGGGGAGGTCCATCCATTCAGAGAACAGGCCTTTGAAAAGACCTCTGAAATGCTTCCCGGAGTCTGCTGCTTGAGGGTTAAGTGGAAAAGAGTCTTCTGAGCTAAGAGGTTTGTGCAACTCTGGCTTTTACAGGCTTCTTTACTGCAGGACTTCCCAGAACCTTTAATGAGATCCTCTACGCCAGGAGTCGAACAGAGGCACATGGGGTAGTCAGCGACTCTATGTGGCTGGTGAGTAGATTCTAGGAAGAGGAGCTGGGGAGGGTGGTGTGGATTAACAGTGGAAAGGACCCCGCAGAAGGCCTCGAAGGCCAGGTGAAGAAGACTGTACCACATGCCACAGGCACCAGTCTTATGCAAAGGAAGGGCATGGGTACTCCTATTCTTTCAAAAGACTGGTCTTTGAGCAATGTGTGGGAAGGACTGAAAAGAGATAGAGGCTGGGAAAGCGAGAGCTGCCATCAGATTCTGATGTAGCCCTCAGGGCTTAGCGGAGAGCAGCCTCTGGGAGCTCCTTCCTAGACAACCCTGGACTCAGCCCACGCTCCTGCGCTCTCACCTGCATCCTGTTCATGGCCTCCCGGAGCTGGTCCAGCTGGTGGGCAGAACTGAGAGCTTCTAAGCGGATGTCCGTCAGCTTCATCTCCTTGTCTCTCAACTCATTTCGGAGCTGCATGACGGTCTCAGCTTCACTATCCATGCATTCTGAAATCCTAGGGAAAGAGGAATGTTACTGATGAAAGTAGCTCCTTTTAGTCCCCTACTGACCACTGGTCCATGTCAATCATCAGGTTTGTTTAGCAGTAACTATGTATAATCAGCTGCCTGGTGCTTCCTGGAGGTGATAATACCAAAAGCGCCTGAAAATAGCTTTTATTCCTTCTCTACATTCTTTCTTTGCCAAGTTCTGGCAATCAGAATGGCTTTGGTGTGCCATTCAGCAAAATTCCAATAATATAGGGATAAACAGGAGCTGGCAAAAGGGAGTAGTAACCTTCCAGTCTGATAACCTCCTCCCCGGCTGTGTGTACACAGCTGCGCTTCCCTGACACCACATGCCTTCGAGTTCCAAACCCACTCAGAGAAGCAGGGTCAGCCGTCTGTTTTAAAGATTAGAAACTCCTTTGTTAAACAACTGAGGGGTGACTTTCATTTGTCAAAATGGGGATGAAACCTAAAGATATGCGTGGAAGGAGTTAATCTTTTCCTGATCACATTCTGAAAACTCACTTCCCTAGAAGTGTCTAGAGAGATCAACCTCCTTTAGTTCCCCAGCCCCCACACTGCTTAACACACTCATGGCAAGAAGAGAAACCTCTTCCGGGAGTTAGAGACGGAATGGTGTGACACACAAGTCAAGGTTGTATCTGAAAACTCTGCAACAGCCTGGCTGATTGTCTTCCTTTCTCTGCTGCACACCGGATCAAGGTCACCACGGGACACTGTTGAGTTCCTCTTTCTGAAGAGGTGGTTCTTCTAGGCTAGGCTCCTTACTTAATTACTTAGGTTTGCTCTTCAAATACCTGGCATGTCAGCACAAAGTAGAAGATCATAAATGTCGTGATGACTTGCAATGTTAAGAAAGATAGTCTTCTTTAAAAAAAAAAGTTCTGTGAGTTTCTAAGATCTTAGAATCTGGGTTACTGGGTGATCCAGAATAGAAAGCTTTGATATTTCTTGGACTGAAGACAGAAAAGCAACCCCCAAACACCCCGATTCTCAAGTTCATAAAGTTAGAAAGCTGAAGCCGATTATGTCTGAAGGAGATGATGAGCATGCGGTCTCTGTAGAAATAAATGATCACGAGTCTGCTCTCCAAGAGCCAAGAGATGGGTTTGGGGCCAAACAAAACCTGACCTGCAAAACTGGGTGTGGGTGTGGAAATTTTAATTGCCAAAGGAAAATGATTTATAAAACTGTTAAAAGAGATGAAATTGTGTTTTGGGGGCAGACAAAACTGAAGAAAAATTTAACACTTGAATAGCCAAATGTTTCTGTTGTTCTTTTCTTGACCTGAACATGAACTGTTTTTGATTTGAGAGATACAGTAAAACCACCTTCTGTTTTTAAAAGTTACCAGTCACCAAGGAAGATTCTTAGCTTCAAAATCTTGAAAAATCCAAAGAACTCCTGAAAATGATCTAATTATTTCTATTTCACACTTTTGAGAGACTGAAGCCAATAGATTTGGGACTAAAAGGGCGAGAGAGAAATGTCTTTAGAATTTGCATCTTCCTTTCTTTCTCAGTGCTCTGTACTTTGAATAGCCTGTGGTTTGTGAGGTTTACTGATAGAACCATGCTCCTTTTCTTTTCTTTTCTTTTTTTTTTTTTTTTTTTTTTTTTTTTTTTTTTTTTTTTTTGGTTTGGGAGGTTTGCAGGAGGAGCTTGCAAAAACTGGTTCTATCTTGAGAAGATGATGGTTTCTTGGTTTAAATGGAGTGTCAAGTCTGAACAAAATTCCACTGTGATACTCCCGTCGTAGCCAAATCATGCCCTACCTGGATCTTGAAGGCTCAGGTTCGCTACAGAGAACAGTCTGTTCCGGTTCACACCGTGTGAGACTGATCTGTCCAGCACTCCATGACAAGGCACTTTGCTCAAGTCATCTTCACATGGTCTGCATCTTTTTCACAGAAAGCTCTCAGCAAGAGAGAAAATACCTTTTTGGCACTCACTTTGTGGAACGTATCGCATGGGTTATTTTGCAGAGCTTGGCCAATACAATGACTTTACAATGAGTAGCAAACTGAAATGAAGACAGTCTGTGTTGGGAAGGCCTTGCCCTCCCTATGCTCCTCCAGAATCAGCCAGCTCTCAGAAACACACAGTGAGGCCTCATGAGAGAGATGCCCTATAACAGAGATGATGTTGAAAACACATTCTTTCACAGCAGCCTTAACTAAGCTTTAGTTCCTAATCCTGCTGCCCAAGACAGAGTCTTCTCCCCTAGTTCCTTCCCTGACTAGACTTATGCTATATTGCCGACAATTTCATTTCACGTAACATGTAACCCTCTGCTTGGCTGCTGGCTCCTCAGGGACCAGGATTATTCTCTGCATCATTTCTGGTGTTTGATCACATTGACAAACACATCATGGTTACCTAACAAATGCTTATGGAATACCTAAACAACTGGGCTAGGCATGTGAAGCATGTTATTCCATTTCCTTTGTACATTACTCACTCCATGCAGAGGTACTGTAATTATCTCCAGTTTTAAAATGGGGAGGCAGAGGCATGGAGACAAACGGGCCCAAGACTGCACTATTTAAAAATGATAGAGGCAGGATGAAACCTGGCAGGTCTGCTTAGCTCTAGAGCCTGTGCTCCTGAACTGTACTCACTAGGTGCTCAATACATGCTTGTCCACTTCATGAACTGCTTACTGAAGCAACCTGATGTGTGTTTTTTCCTACTCAGTCCCTTAACTGTCATTCAAGCATTTTTCCGCTGTCTTGTCCACAGTCAGGGCTGGTGGCATACCTAATTTTAAAATGCCTCGAGTGTGGGAAAATGTTGCCTTCCCGTAACTACCATTCCTTTCGCCCACGGACTGGGGAATTTTCTAAGTCCAACTCCTCTGCCTTTGGTTTTGTCTTTGAACTCCCTCTCACATCTAGATTTGCACATTCTTACAAACCTTTCAAGGTTGGAAATAAGCATTTGCTCTCAGCCTACCCTTTGGAAAACGAGACCAAAAACAAACATCTCCAGTGTGCATGGATGCTGTGGAATTTAAAAAAAGGGCTGGGGAGCCAGGAGTCAGCCTCGCCCGATTCCTCTAGGGAAAATAGCTTGGAGGATAGTTCTGCCACGGTCCTGCATAGCTGAGTGCATCACCGCCTCTGTCTGCTCATCTTACTCGGCTGCCCAGCAGCATCTGGCCCTGTTCCTATTCCCTCCCGCAACAGTTTCTCCTCTCTGCTCCTGGGTTTCCTCCCACATTGCTGGCCAGCTGCTGTAACTCCTCTTTCTGAACTTCAAATATCAGAGTGCACTAGAGCTCAGTCCTTGCCCTCTGATCATCTTTGTCTTCACTCAACCCCTTGGAGAGCTCTTCCAGGTATCCAGCTTTTGACATCACCAATGAGTCTGTGTCTCCCACCTCTATACCTCTAGGAAGTCCAGGCTGGTCGACCTGGATATGGATGTCTGCTGGGCATCTCAAATTTAATGTGACCAAGGCAGTGCTCCGACTCCCCACTCTGCCTCCATCTGTCTCCCACTCATCCCAGTTACTCAAGCTGTAAATCTAGGAATATCCAAGGATGGCTCTTCTCTTTCCCTTGCACTCACATCTGACCCATCACCATACCCTGCCAACTTTTCTTCAAGAATATATCCTAAATCCATCCAGGACGCACCACTGTCATCAGTCACTCATTCATTCCACCAAATATTTGAGCGCCTTCAAAACCAGCAGAGCACCTACCTCCAAGGAGCTTCTACTATAGATCTGCGGTGGGGGTGGGGGACAGAGAACAAATAATCAAGGAAAACCTGTATGTCAGGCATCAGGGGGGCAACATGTGCAATGGGGAACAAATGAAGGAGGGGCAAAGGGACCATGGGGAGCACTGGCTGGTGGTGGAATGTTGGTTTATACAAGTGAATGGGCAAGGCCTTATTCATTAGGTCACATTGAGCAGAGACCTAAGGAAATCAATATCTGATGGAAGAGTGTGCCAGGCAGAGGACACAGGAAGGGCAAAGGCTTTGAGGTGGAGAGTGTGATTGGAATGTTCAAAGAAGAAGTGGGCCGGAGTGGCTAAGATCCCCTAGGTGATCTTCCTTCCCCATATTCCGTACATATGGAACAGAGACTGATCTTTGTAAATTCAGATTATCGCATATTTCTGTTTCAAACTCCATCACAGCCACCCATTATACATGAAATCGAATGCAAATTCACTTCAAAGCCTTGCATGCTCTAGGCCCTATGTCTGTGGCCTCTTTGCACATGTGGGAAGTCATGCTGTCCATCCCTCTCTGTCTCAGACACATCAAACCTGTTTCCACATTAGGCTCCTTGTGTTATTTATTTCTTGGGTCGGGAAGACTGCCCTGCTCATTGGGGGCTGGGGTGGCAGAGGCTGCTATGTGTTCACCAAAGCCCATTTCCTCCTTTACTTCTTCCCCTGCAGGTAGTATGGCTTTGACTCCTGCTCAGTGGACTGCAGGAAAAGGTGACATAAGCCTCTTCCGGGCCTGGTCCTTAAAAATCCTTCTGCAGGTTCCTCTGCCCTCCTCATATCCTCACGCCCACTGGCTGGACACAGAGCATTGAGCAGAGAACTGGGCCCTGTGGATGGTGGGAGCCTTGGTGCCTACATCACTAGAGGGCAGGCCGCCTGCTGACTAGGACTAACTGTATTGGGTTTGGAGTGAGCAAGAAATAAACAGTCGTATGTAAAGCTGCTGAGCATTGGGCTGAGTTTGTTACAGCAGCTAATGTTATTGACTGAAACTAACCCAGTGGTTCCCCCTGGCATGCAGATCTCAGCTGAAATGTCACCTACTCAGAGGGGTGTTTCCTGACCACCCCATCTAAAGATGCTGCCAAGGGTCTCTGTATCTCAGCACTGTTTTAAATCACAGCATTATCTCTTAGCACTCTCTGATTTTCCTAGTTTATTCAGGATTTGTTTAACATTCATCTCCTCTCTTGGTATACAGGGTCTATGAGTAGGAGCTTTGTCTTGTACTCTACCATAACTACAACTGAGAATGGGGCCTTCAGAGTTCAGGAGTAGAATGAACTGTACTATGTCATGCCTCCATTAGTCTTTAGCCTTTTCAGAGGTGGAAAATCTGTTTAACTTCTTTTTCTTTTTTTTTTTTCTTTGAGATGAAGACTCGCTCTGTCGCCCAGGCTGGAGTGCAGTGGCACGATCTCGGCTCATTGCAATCTCTGCCTTCTGGGTTCAAGCAATTCTCTGCCTCAGCCTCCCAAGTAGCTGAGATTACAGGTTCCCACCACCACCCCTTGTTAATTTTTGTATTTTGAGTAGAGATGGGGTTTCATCATCTTGGCCAGGCTGGTCTTGAACTCCTGACCTCATGATCCACCTGCCTTGGCCTCCCAAAGTGTTGAGATTACAGGCGTGAGCCACTGCACCCGGCCTTTTTTTTTTGAAACAGAGTTTGCTCTTGTTGCCCAGGCTGGACTGCAATGGTGTGGTCTCAGCTCCCTGCAACCTCCACCTCCTGGGTTCAAGTGACTGTCCTGCTTCAGCCCTCCAAGTAGCTGGGATTATAGGCATACGCTACTATGCCTGGCTAATTTTGTATTTTTAGTAGAGATGGAGTTTCTCCATGTTCGTCAGGCTGATCTTGAACTCCTGGCCTCAGATGATCCACCTGCCATGGCCTCCCAAAGTGCTGGGATTACAAGCATGAGCCACCACACCTGGCCTTTTTTTTTTTTTTTTTTTTTAAATAGAGACATGGCTTCATGCTGACACCCAGGCTGGAGCATAGTGTGATCACAGCTCACTGAAGCCTCAAATTCCTGTGCTCAAATGACCCTCGTACCTTGACCTCCCAAGTAGCTGGGACTACAAATATTTGACACCATGCCTGACTAATTATAAAAACATTTTTTTTGGTAGAGACAGAGTCTTACTATGTTGACCAGGCTGGTTGCCAGCTCTTGGCCTCAAGCAATCCTCCCTCCTTAGCCTCCCAAAGCGCTGGGATTACAGGCATCAGTAACTGCACCTGGCTTGGTTAACATCTTTTTGGTTTCTTTAGAGCATCTGGAATAGTGCTCTACTCAAACAGGTTGCTATACAAAAAATTAAATCAATCAATAAAGAAGAGATGATGAGTTCCTTTTTCTCCTGGTCAGGAGACAACTGAGTTGGGATGTTTTGGGATGATGACATGTGTGAGAGTCACAGGCAACTTGTTCTTTACTCCTTCCTTAGGCACTCTGCAGATAAAAGAGGACTCTCAGTCATGTATCTAGTTCTTCACTCAGAATAACACAGGGTACTGGGCTGGGCACCACAGCGGCACACTAAAGTCCAGTCCCTCAGTGCTCTCTTTCCTTCCCCTGTTCAGTTTTACCCTCACCCGTAACAACAGGAAGTACATATCCCTGTAGCCACCCTCTTACTAGGGTGCTCCCCAAGAAAAGAGGAACTGATCATCAAACTCAGTAAAATGGAGACCCTGACAGTGTCATGTTTTAATAGCGGGTGCGGGTGCTTCAAAGTCATAACCCTACTATCCTCTGTTTCCTCTCTTCCACTTCCCATCTTCCATGCAGTTGGTGTGCTACAAAGACCTGGCCCCTGGACAGGCTGATTTTGCCTGTTCTCCCTTTACCCATCTTCAGTGGGCTGGCGGACTAAGTGGACTTAGAGTCAGCTCCACAGACCTTCTCCAATGAGAATGAAGAAAGATGAACAGGAAGGAAAAGGCCCTTCATGCATAGTATTTAATTTGGCCCTCCCAAGACCAGTGAAGTAGATATAACGAATCCCATTTTTACTAGTGAGGGAACTGAAGTTTATACAACCGAACTTCTTTCTCTAACCCTATCCCAGTGGCTGTTCTGACCCTGGCCATGACTTCCCTCTTCTCCCAGGCACTGTCTGATCTCGCTGATAACTTTCCTTGTGCTCCAGTTCTTTAATTCTCAACCTGGTATACCATGGTCTCAAAAGAAATTCAGCCCTACTGGGGAGGGCCAGACTTTCTTACTGCTGCAGGAAGCAAGCTCCTTTATATCAATTTATATTGTTCAATTCTTAGGGCTAGGGTAAGTACACAACCACCATTACCCAAACTGACATGTAAAGGTATGGAAACAAGGAGAAGCGAAGCAACCTGCTAGCTGTGGACACTGATGCTACCAGAACAAAACCCTGTTTCCTTTCTCTTTCAGCTTTCCCAGTCCTAAAGCATTGAAAGAACATGCCCAGTCCTACTAAAGCAAAGCATAACAGGTCTCCTAGATATTCCTATTGGAGAGGGTTCTCAGGGGCCAAAGATGTCACCTGACTAGACAGGCAGACTTACAGAGAGTTGGAGTGGGAATTCCTCAGCAGTGGGGTGGAACCTGTGGACCCGTTGTGTGGTAACTTTGGTGAGGAAGGCAAAGAAGAATCCGTCATCTCCTCAATGTCTGAATGAGAGGACGCAGATTTGGGGGACTTCTTCTTCCCGAAAGCTTGCTTGAAGGAGCTGCGTAACTGAATATACAAGACTGTCAGCCTCGCAGCCAGGGCAACCAATGCTTAGGCCTTGGCAAAACAGGGACATGCACACAAAAAAGCGATTATTCTCTCATGTTTTCCCCCACCAATGGAAAAGGTTCCCAAGAGCTCTTTTGAATCAGTGCATTAAGGGAAGAAGAGTTATCTGGTGTTGCCAGCTTAAGGGACTGCACCTGTGGGTAACATTCCATGCCTACTCTTGGTTCAAGACTAGATGCCAACAGCAAGACAGAGACTGGCTCAGCAGATGGATGCTGGGAAGATGAGGTTACACAGCAACAAAGCAGGATGCTCAGACATGGTGACGGATGCGGATGAGGTTAGTCATATCAATGGATGGGTTAGCTTGGTATCTGATATTAAAGTTGGTCTTGCTTACCTCATTGACCTGCCAGAGGAAACGCAAGCAAAAATGGGGAAGGGGGAGGAAAAAAGACAATTTTTTAACAGAGAAAGCCAGTGACAGGGAAAGCTTCGGACTTTCAGACACAACATGGCTAATAATAAACACCACACACAGGGGAGGTTTCCAGTAGGAGCATAAATCTTTAAAAGCACTGGGGGCATGTTCCTCCTTTCTGAAAGGAAGGGAATAGCAGGCTGGCGAGTCTTCTACAATTCCAGTTCTTCCAGCTTTTCCCTGCCTGGCCGAAATGGCTGCCTCCCACCTTCCTGTGCTTCTCCTTCTCTTCTTTTCTCTTGGCAGTCACCTCTCTGTGCCTTAGTTTTTTTGGGGAGGGTGGAGACGATGTCTTATTTTTTTGAGCAATTCTAGGTTCACTGTTACACTTGTCCTGGATGGCTGCTTAACCTAACCACTTAGGAGTTTCTGCTATTTGTGAATATAAGAAGATAATCTAATATGCAGCATATTAGCCATCTCACTTGTTACTCAGAAAATCGTTATTTCAAAGAAATTTATTAACTATATGGGGGAAATGTTACAGTTTCCCCAAATCATGGGATGAATCTGAAAATTCTTTTTCCCCCTATTGCAGGAACATAAAGAATTAAAGTGCAATGTCTTCTCTGAAAGTCATACTCAGCACTCATTTTCCTTGGCCAAAAACTAATGTTGCATCTTGACAAAAGGCCTTTTAAAAGTAATTTCTCTTTTCTAAAGTGTTTTTTCCTTGTGAAAATATATTCCAGGGGTTTTCTTAGCCATTGAAAACTTCAGAAAACAGGGCATTCTAAAAATTGATGAGATTTTTCTCCCATCAACGGGTTGCATCCGTAATAAACTACATGTCCAGCTTTTGGGCAAATCTAGATCCCATTTATCTTCCATTTCCTACTTCTCATCATATTTCCAGAGAGTAGTCACAGAAACAGAAGGATTAGGGACACAAGCCATCAACCGAAATCCTTGACTTTACCTCTGGTAAAAAGCCAGGTGGAAGAGGAGATTACAAAGATCAGACAGAGCTAAGCTTTGGGATTAGCTGCGGATGCCAATTATCCATCTTCCCTGATTTGACTGATAACCAGGCGTTGTCTTAAAGCAACATATGCAAGTTTTATTTCTTGAAGAAAATAGAATAGCCACTATTTTTCACAGAAAATATCTCTCGTCACTTTGAAAATCAAAGCAGACCATGTTTATCAATTGCATATTAGAGACAGCAATATGAATTAATCCTATCTGTGTTTAGTCATAACAAATAAATTGACTAAGAGCCATTAGCAACTTAAAAAAGAAAATTTAATCAGAATGATGAGAGGGTCACACTAAACTGGCTTTTTAGCTTGCTTCCAATGCAAGTCATTGACAACCAAAATGACTATATCCCTAATGTCTCTATCACTAGACCTCGCCACCCATCCAAGATAACACAAAATGAGTGAGAAGTGTACAGAATGAATGAGGACACTGTAGCTACTAGTGAAACAGGATGCCATCAGCACAAAGGGGGCCCAGAGGCCACTGGTCAGCTCCAGATCAACTTGGGATATTCTTATACTGAAGACAAGGGATAGCAAATCTCAGAGCTCTGCAGCCTTGAAAGCACAGCTAAAAAACTGGATGGAGAGTGAGGGGTGGAATTTTTCTAGGAAAGTAGAAAACACCACTGCACACAATTCAAATAACTCTTTGGGATTATGAATACATGAAGAAACACTGCAATGGAGACTGATTCTATGAAACTTGCTATTTGAGGTACAACCCTCAGTTTAGAGCTACTTGCTAACTTCTAACATTGATATTAGGAAACTTTTATTTATAGGACGTGGTCAAAAAGTTTACAAAGAGAGGGTTGCTTTGATGCTATCCTAAGCAATTCTATAAATAAATAGATAATGATTATGGCTAAAGATGGGACAACTAGCGATATGCTCAAAAAAATATTTTGGATCTAACTAAGAAGAAACCACTTAAGAATAACTTTGCTCTAGTACCCGAAACTTTGTGGCCAACATATAATGAGGAAGAAATGACACATATATGAAATGAAAGATGAGTACTTTATGAAAAGTCTCATGAAAGAGGAAAAAATACAAGGTGGTAGGGATGTTATAGATTCTAGTGTTTTGCTGAGCACCATATTGATTTTAGTAAAAACCTATCCACAGCCATTTCCTGGGATCTACTCCCGAAGGGCTGTGTTCCACACATAGTAGCTGGGCTGGGCTTTATCTGGGCGGATGCACCAGCCAGTTCTGTAACTGACTCTTCTGTCAGTTCCCAGGAAAGTGTCTGGGTATGCACTCACCCAGTTCTTCCTCTTCTTCTTCTTTGAGTCACTCTCTATGTTGCTGCCCACGCTGGAGTGGCTGGTGGCACTGTTGATGCTGGAGACGCTGTCTGAGGAGTGCTGCCTGCGGATGCGGAGGTCTGCAGACTGGGCAGTGCCGTTTCCTAGAGACCAAGGCAGGGCGTATCAGTGGCTGTCAACCTGAGCCCTGCTCTTTATCTCTTTTGCCACTTAAGCAAAACCCACCCACCCGAGGACTACTAGACTGTTCCACTAGTAGTGTGTTCCACTTAGACATCACCTCTGTTCCCTGTAGCTGTTTCTAAGATTCTTGAATAGGTGGGTGCATTGCCCTCTTTGGTCAATTAAATGAGGTCTATCTCTCCCCACTTTACACAACAGAAGTCAAGGGAGGTGTAGGAAGAATTTCCCCACCAGCTGTTAAGCTTTAGACAGGTGAGGAAATCTGCTTGTCACCTTCATTGCTAGCCCCCTCCTTGTCCTGCTCTCTGGGCACCTGCCACAGTGGCCTTCTTTGGAAGTGATATGCCTACCTCATCTAGGGCCTTTCCATGTGCTATCCCTCTACCTGGATGTTCTTTTCCCTTCACTCCATCCAGCTAACTCTTTTGCAAATCCTTCCCATTTCAAAGCTATCATCACTTTTTCAGGAGGCCCAATAGAGGAAGAACACTGATATGGAAAATGTGTGATATCTGACATAAAATTTGCAGATAGTTTTCCTCATTAGAACAGAACTACACCTAAAGGCTGATCTTTGAGAACACTGGTTGGAGGGTCAGGCTGATTCATCAGGTTCTAGCCCCACTTCCGTTTCTCCCTAATCCCTAACCTTAAAAAGTGACTCTTGGCTCGACGTAGTGGCTCACACCTGTAATCCCAGCACTTTGGGAGGCCAAGGTAGGCAGATCACTTGGGGAGTTTGAGACCAGTCTGGCCAACATGGTGAAACACCTTTTCTACTAAAAATACAAAAGCTAGCCAGGCATGGTTGCGTGTGCCTGCAGTCCCAGCTACTCAGGAGGCTGAGGCAGGAGAATCACTGGAACGTGGGAGGTGGAGGTTACAGTGAGCCGAGATTGTGCCATTACACTCCCGCCTGGGGGACACAGTGAGACTCCATCTCAAAAAAAAAAAGAAAGTGACTCACATCTATGAACCCTAGTGCCCCCATTAGTACAATGAGGAGAGAAGAGAATCACACTCACAAGATTGTTGTAGAAAGAAAACCAAATAATTAAAACATTGAAACACTTAGCACTATGCTTAGAACACAGTAAGTGTTCCATAAATGCTAGCTATCCATATTACTACTATGATTGCTACACTGTTAATATTAATATTATGAGAGCTAACTCACCTGCACTCCTCCATTACCCCAAGATACACAAGGACAAAGTAATTTACTTAGAAATATTTTCCTGGGCTGGATGCAGTGGCTTGTGCCTGTGATCCCAGCACTTTGGGAGGCTGGGGAGGGTGGATCACTTAAGGCCAGGAGTTCAAGACCAGCCTGGCCAACATGGCGAAACCTTGTCTCCACTAAGAATACATAAATTAGCCAGGTGTGATGGTGCATGCCTGTAATCCCAGCTACTTGGGAGGCTGAGGCAGGAGAATCACTTTAACCCTGGAAGCGGAGGTTGCAGTGAGTCAAGATTGCACCGCTGCACTCCAGCCTGGGTGACAGAGCAAGACGCTGTCTTAGAAAAAGCAAAGAAAAGAAAAGAAATGTTTTCCTGGACAAATAAGGAAGGAGCTCAGTTCAGCTTATCCCACATATCAGCATGTAAATATCAGAGTGCTAGTGAAATGAAAGGTTGTAAAACATTTTAACGTTCTGGCAATAGAAACATGTTTTCTTTTTCAGATATATCAGAGAAGAGGATAGCCATCTTCATGGAGGCCAGAAGTGACTCGATTAAGGTATTTGCCTTCCAGGTCCTGCCCTCCTGACCTGGAGCTGAATTATGCAGACACCTGTCCTCTAGCAGGGAGGTTGCATCATATGATGGCAGGGGAGGGCTCCTAAGGGCAGGCAGGTCTTCTGGCTAAAGGCTGTTTCCCTCACTTTACCTTTGCAGTTGAGCTCAGGTGTGTTAATTACTCCATTAATGGCAGCCTGGGCAGCTGCATTCTGTTTCTTTAGTAGCTCAATGGTTTTTCTTAACTCATTCAGTTCTGAATCCTAGGGAACAGAAAGAATTATTTGTCAGCCTAAAATCATCCTGTACAGAGTTCAACTGAAGTATAACTTAGCTTCAACACAGGAGGGGAGTGAATGAAGTAGTTCAACCAAACCTTTCAGATGGATCAAGGGGCATGAACAAACACATAAGAGTAGGGTTATAACTACGAGATCTATCATTGATGCCCTTATCACTCAACCTGTCATATTTTCACTCAACAGGCTGGACTCCTTACAATTAAACTTTAACAGTTCAAGAAGTACATTAACATCCGTACAATGATCTGAAATGAAATATAATGATCTGAAATGAAAGAACAGAATTTTCAGGTTTGTTGTTGACTCCAAGGGGGTGGCGACGGTGGTGGTGGTGTAAAAGTACCCTTTCTGCCTTACCTTCTGCTCAGCTGTCATTGTCAGACTCTGGAGCCTGATTGTCATGTTACCAAGGCTCTGTTCAAAGGCTGCCACAAGGTGAGCCTGGAGGGGAAGACACAGCCTCAGTTATATCACCTTACAAGGCAAGAGTGCTTAGAAGGGCTGGCTCTGAACGATGGAAATCCTGTGGGTCCACTTGATCTAGGCTACTCCTTCAGCCTCCTCTTGAATCCCACTCCCCACCCTCTTTGGGATCTAGTCACTCCAGTCTTTTACTTGCTCAAACACCCCAGTGCTCCTTCTCACCTTGGGACCTTTGTAAAAACCTTTTCCCCTCTACCTGAAATGCTCTTCCTCTCACACCTTTCTCCCATTCCTTGCCTAATAATTTTTACCTGTCTACAAGCACTCCCAGCTCATACCTTCACGACACCCTCATATGCACTCTCACAAGCAAACTGTACTTCTGACTACACTTTGAGATATCACAGTTAAAAATATATGCAGTCTTGTAACTGTTCGTGTATGTCTGTCTTTACTACAGTGCAGGATGATCTGCTCACCAAGTGCTAAGCTCACAGCAGAGGCTCATATTAAGCATGTTAGTAGAATGAAAAAACAAAATGGTTGGCACAGTTTGCTTGTTATAATCCTGGTTAATAAAAAGCCACTGAAAGGCCCATCTGCTACCTCCTCGGAGAAAGGTTTCCCAGTTCCTCCAGGGAGTTACCACTTTCCCACAGGCTTGCACGTGCCTTTATACATGCCTGTTAGAGTATGACATAAAATGTACCATTATTTTATATTTCTAAGAATTTTTTAAAATGCTTCCAGTTATGAGTAAAAGAGCAACCAATTTTCAGGGATGTTAAACTACAAAAAAAAGAAGAGAGTATATCTAAGACTTGGGAAATGTGGCATTTTCATGACTGCCACTTTCTCTACAACTCTCTTGAAGGGTAAGAGGTAACTTTGTGTCCCAACACTAAACTTTTGCCTGCAACACAGAGTAGTAGGTGATATATTAGTTGACTGAATGAGAATCCTGGTAATGTTATTAAAACCAAGAATAAAGAACAGGTGCTTTTTCAAACAGTCATGCTAAGGAATTTCTAGCAATAGACCGAAGAATCTATTTGGCAGCTAGGATCTTCTAACCTCCAATCTCTACTTGTGTAAATGGAATAACGGCATGTCCAAGAGTGAGAGGCATTTGGGCAGCAGACGAGACAGATCACCAGACTACGTACTTGATGAGGGCTGACACCATGTCTATCTTGCTCCTCACTGTATCCACACTGCTGGTACGAAAACAGCCACTCGATCATGTATGTTGGATGAGTGATTAAAGGATTGAGAAGAAAAGCACTTAGATGCAGGAGGCAGTGTAGCACAGGGGAAGGGAACAGGATTCAGAGTTAGAGGTCTTCAGCTCTCCCTGTAGTTCCTTTTGATTGCCCATAACACTGAGCAAATCACCTAATCCTACTGGCCTCGGCTTCATCTGTGAAATTGTACCAATATCTGTTTTCCTACCAGGGTAATTTTCTGTGCTAAATGAAACAAAACTGGTGAAAATGGTCTATGAACTGTTCAGGAACTGCAAAACACAGGAATGCATGGACACCTGTGGGGGAAGAAAGGGGTGTGGAAACAATAAAGTGACAAGAGAAACTATGAGAGGAGTGAGAGCACCGGAGAACACAGGTGTAGGAACGGGGAGTAGAAACACAGTGAGCTACAGGGCGGACGAGAGGTGCAGAGGGTGCATGGGAGGATCTTGGGAGAGGTAAGATTTCTTCATGCTATAAAATTTGAGAGGAAGAGATGACTGACGCACACAGTGAGGAATGAACGCTGGATAAGCGGGGTGAGGGAGATGAGGAGGGTAGGAAGAAGCTTTGACTGTGTACTGTGAGGAGGCGCAGTGACATTTCAATGTAAGGAGAGATGTGAGGGGTGAAGAGAGGCCTGTTATTAGACTTCATCAAACAGGGATGGTGGAGGCTACGACATCTCTAGAATCAACTGCTGGCAGGGAGCATTTCCACTTGCAGTAGAAATATTAAGTGGAATAGTCAGTTTCTCTCTGATTGCACTTCCTCTATTAAAAATGGAGACAGTACCTCTGCATTTTAAAATCAAGAGATATGCTTTTGTTTGCCCTGGAGAGTATGGCAAAACTAAAGCCAATCAATTCAATATAGTCACATAATTGACAAAGGAAACAGGCCAGGACCTCGATGTCTAAAAGAGCATTTGCTATCCCTGTAGCGCAAAGGAATGAAAAAGTTAAATGTAAATGATTGGATTTCCATTGATTTCAGCTCTGCACTTGATTGTCCCCCATGATTCCAGTTATGTACATTCCTATTTTCTATTCAATTAAAAATAAAAATAAAAACCTGACCCCATGCAGACTGCTATTGAGAAGGTGTTTTTGCAAGCTTAAAAAGAAACCATATTTGCTCTGGAGATCCAGAGGATCCCATTTTTCTGGTAAGCAAAAGGGCTGCCTTTGTGTCATTAGCCCAACTATGAAAATACAGGCTGCGGAGGCCGTTCCAAGCCTGGTTCAGAGCCACACAACAGCCTACTCATCAAGCGCCATGCTCACATTCCCAGGGAAAACAAACACAAGTGGTATGAAAACACTCAGAGAAGGTGGCTTTGAGTAGTTTGTCCTGGAAAAACAAACACAGCTTGGTTTGCCAGAAAGATGGCAGACAATAAAACATGTTCGCCCTTCCAGTGGTGTGCGGCAAGACTAAATATTTACTTTCAAACAATACTGGATTCAGTGCCTTTTATGAGGAACAAAACACTCTTCTGGAATAATATAAGGGATCTCAATCTGACTCTTCTAGAACAGACAGCAGAGTTCCACATGGCCCAAGGTGAGGCTCAAATGGCAGCACAAGGTCACTGGAACAATTAACCCGAGTTCACGGGAGAGTAGCTCAGCATCACTGTGGTTTGACAAGGGCTTGCTGTCAAACCACACGTTTGGATTACACCCAGAAGACCCTGACTTGCTGGGTCTGGAGTTTGTTCCGGATTCAAATCTACACATTTGATTATCCAGATGAAGAATCTGCCCATGGAATAGAACCTACCTACAGAATACTGTTTTTCTGAATAGGACCTACGCCTCAGAATTAAGTTCTCATGTCAGATTTTAAAGTTCTTTTGATGGCATTACCGGTGGTAGAAGAGGTAAAGAAAATAAAAGATTACAAAACACACCGTGGTGTCCTAAGTTAGGGTTTTTTAAAAAAATTAAGGATTTCCAGAAAAGAAAGAGAACTTAGGAGGCTACATATTAATGCGGGCAGCTAGCAGTTACTGAGCTTATAGCTAAGGTCAAGCACTGTACTAGGTACTTCGCATGCCAACTTAGAGAGAAATGGTTCCCTTGAGTAAACTAAGGCTCGAGCTTGGAATACCATGGCAAAAACTCCAGGGAAATGACTAATGTGGAGGACTGACTCAGTTGTCTAGTGAGAGGAAGGCAGCATTTTGAAGTTGGTTTCCATTTTAATGACATGCTGAGGTCATGCAGGTTGCTTTCTATGTAGCTTGAACACATTTATCAATGGGCTCAGCCTGGGTGGTGAACTCGTGGGCAGCAAGCCTTGCCTCAGAGGCACCTCAGCACCTTTTGATACCTCAGGCTCTGTCTGCTGAGCTTCAGCCTTCACCTGGTCACAGCTCTGCAGCAGGACTCCTATACAGACAGGGCTGATGGGGATGGGGAATGGGGGACCTCTGCCTCTAGTCTGATCTTCTATCCAAAGTGCAAACCAGGCCACCCACTGCTTACTTAAAACTCAATGAGAGGTCTCTACTAACTTCAGGAGGGAGCCCAGATGCTCACTCCAACAGCTCCGACACTGTGATCTGACCCCTTGCCTTTCTTCGATGACTTCTTCCTCCCTACTTCTGTCCCCTCTTCACCTTACCTCTCCTCCACATCCAAGCCACAGATACTAATTACACCAACCTACAGAGAGTTTGAAATACACCAAGATCTTTCTCCTTAATCTTTGTGCAAATTATTCTCTTTGGTTAGAATGCTCTCCACCCTATGCATTCTCCCTTACATAGCATCCATTAGACGTCACCTCCTCCAGGAAGTCCTTCCTGCCCACCTTTAAAAAAATTTTTTTTCTTATTTTCAATATCTGATGAGCTGTCCCCTTTTTCATCCCTCACCAAGAGTGAGCGAGGTGCTCCCCCTAGATATTCCCACTACCGTCTCCTCCCTTTATCTTAACAGTTATCATGTTATAGCAAAATTTTCTGTTTTGGCTCTCTGCTGTCCCAGAAACTGAATGTTAAGACATCAGTCACTGTGCTTGCTCTGCTGCTGAACCCACAGGCCCAGGGAACAGCTGGTGCTCAAACCGTTGTTGAATTGGCAACATCCCCTGAACACATAATCATGTGTATTATAATGACAGAGCAGCTACCTACATATTGGGAAGAACTACATTTCTTTTCTTCCCCCTTCTTTCCTTTTTGCTTTTGATTTTTCTCCCTTAAAATCAAAATTTTCAGAAAGAGGAAGATAAATTAACATTTTAACGAGCACTTCATATATGGCAAACATAGACCATGGGCCAATATTGAGAGGTAAACACTCTCACCCTCGTTACATAGGTGAGCACATGCAGGCTGAGATTCAAGAACTTACTCAAAGTCACAGAGCCAGTAAGTGTCCAAACTGACATTCACATCCATGATGCTAAAGCCTGTGTCTTTTTCTTTACAATGTGCTACTTCTATTTGTTCAGCACAGGAGGACTTGAGGCTGCTCAGAAGGCAAGGATGGTGCTTCCTGTCCTGATGCTACCGCCCTATGTCTGTACTTACATTTGCTGTCAGCTGGGTGGTCAAAGCTGAAACCTTCTCCTGGGAGGCATCCAGTTCCCGCCGCAGTTTGCGAATCTAAAGATGACAAGGGAGAGGGTTACATGCTTTGGGAGTCCATTTCCAGGGTGAGCAGGGTCAAATAATTGACAATAGCGAAAGAGGAAATCCAACCAGCAAGCTCTTCCTTACCTCTGACTGGCATTTTTCTTCTGGCTGTAAAGAAAACATAAAGGAAATTAGACCAGTTAAGGAACAAAGAATAGTCCAGCCCACCAGGAATACCATATTCAGATACTTGCAGCAGTCTGGAAGATTTACTAGTTTATTTTCTGGTATATTTCTCTGGATAAACTGGTTCAATTAAATTGATCCATCAGAAAGGCCAAATACAAACAGCATATTATTTTCAAAAATTAGGGAGAATGAGAATACCACTCCACATTTCGGTTCTGTGGAGCCACTCTGCTCCCCAGGCGGGGATGGTGATAGGTAAGGTGTGCAGGAGAAGGTATGTGATGAGAAGGCCATGAGTCAGATTTAGTAAATAAAAATACAGAAGGCCTAGTTAAATTTGAATAGCTTTAAAAAAAATAAAAAGTCTAGGGCCAGGCATGGTAGCTCATGCCTGAAATCCCAGCACTTTGGGAGGATGAGATTGGTGGATCACTTGAGGTCAGGAGTTGAAGAGCAGCCTGGCCAACATGGTGAAATCTATCTCTACTAAAAATACAAAAATAATTGGCCACGCATGGTGGCATGCACCTGTAATCCCAGCTACTCGGGAGGCTGAGAGGCAGGAGAATGGCTTTAACCTGGGAGATGGAGGTTGCAGGGAGCTGAGATCATGCCATTGCATTCTAGCCTGGGCAACAGAGGCTGCCCATCTCAAAAAAAAAATAAAATAAAATAAAGCATCTAATTTTGTTACTAAAAAAAAATTTTTGTTGTTAATCTAAATTTCAAATTTAATTGAGTGTTTTGTGTTTTCTCTGGCAACCCTATCTAGGGAGCAAGGAAAACTGCTCTTGGGCTAATTCTGCCCTATTTTCTGCCCTCCTCTCACTTCCCTAGGGCACTGCAGTGGGAGAATGGGAGCAGCAGGGTAGAAAGACCTCAAAGTGAGAGGGGTTTGGGAGCCCCTATTGGCCATCCCAGTAACTCCACAGGCTGTGAGAATAAATGTGGCCTTCATCTTCATGCTGGCCCGTTCAAGGACCCCAATTACCTGTGACCCTGTGGAGTAAGGGTGAACTCTGTTACCCCTCTTACTGGCTTCCCTCTTTGTTCCTTCCATGCTGGCTCTGTGTCTGTAGTGACACAGGTACCTGCCAGCCAGAAACTATAAGACCCTGTCTCCTCCCATAGGGGGAGTCCACATGGGTTGGGGAACCTACTGCAGGAGGAACCTTTCTGTCCCTGTCCTCTAGTTCCCACAGGGGCTCATAAAAGAGAACCTACCCAGTTCCTGGAAATATTGATTGCTCCTGACCTCTCCACTCATCACTCTAATTTCTCCAGGGAGGGAAGAGTGACTTGGGAACAAAGTAGGTGACTGAACATCAGTAAGAACTCTATTTTGTCCTTGGGTCTTCTCTAAGTGTCCTAATCCAATTTTACTAGGAATAAGCCCATTATTTTTCAAAAATCAGCATCCGACCCTGATGTTGACATCTCCATGAGTTCACAATACAAAGTGGGTATAATTCATTAGAACTTGCAGAGCCCATATCCATCAGCTGGAATAGGTGGGCAGCTGCTTCCTGTCTGATCTCCCTTCACCCTGTGCTCCCCATTGTCCTCCCTCCTGATCCTGCCCACGAGTCCCCTCCTCTAGGATGGCTCCTAATAGCAGCAACCAATTTTTAAATACACAGAGCCAAGTCATTTAAACCTTGCAGAAACTCCATTAGGTAGGTTTGTTTGTATTCCTTCCGAGGTTCAGAAGGGTTGTGTCTTGCCTAAAGTCTCACTGAACAACCTCCTTATCTAAGAAATGCTTTCAGGAGAAGGTTGGAAGATATCCTTAGAGCTCACTCTTCCCTCCCAGATACTATTCATTCATCTTTGTCTGTCTGTCCATCCATCATCACTACCACCACCTATCAAATATTTACTGACTTCCTACTGTGTGCCAGGCACTGTTGTTAAGAATCTGTGATAAATCTGTGAACATGACCAAGTCCCTGACTTTTTGTTGCCTGCATTCTGGTAATAACAGCTAGCATTTATTGAATGCTTACCATCTGCCACAGACAGTTCCAAGCATTTTACATTCATTATTCATCTAATCCTTATAACAACTCCTTGAGGAGGTACTAATACTATTGCTTTCTATTTTGCATATGAGGAAACTGAGGCGCAGAAAAGTTCAATAATTTGCCCATGGTCACAGCCAGTAAGTGGCAGAGTTGGGACTGGATCTAAAGTAGTAGTCTGGCTCCAGAGCCTGTGCATATTCTCCTGGACTTTTACTACAGCTACATTCTCATGGAGGCTTTCTAGAAATAAGCCCACTGAGTTCAATCCAAAGGGTACAAGTTAATGGTGAGAACATAAGCACCATTTAACATTTGGAAGGCTGGTGGAGGCCTGTCAGAAGGCTTAAACATCCACATAGGACCAGACCTACTTTGAAACACTTCCACTGACAGGCCCTAACAGCCCTTCCCCATGCCTCTGCCACTGTCTGTCACTGTGCCCACCTGTCTCTGAGATTGGGCCCCTATTATCAACAGCAGCCTAGAGAAAGCATGTGCTTTATATCTTGCCCCAGTTGCTGCTGTTCTGCACATCTGGGAACACTATGTGATACTGCTAGCCGCCGTCCATTCAGCACCTCTCCTGGGAACTCAAGTGCTCCCTACCAAACAGGAAAACAAGTTTGATGCCAGAGGTGGCCTTTGATATTTTTCTCTACTCTAATAAGAGTTAGTCATAACTTTCCCATGGCAATCATTTAGCATTGTGTATTCTTTTCTTTCACTTATAATTAAAATTGCAGGCAAATTTCATGCAGAATGAGCATTCTTGAACATTCATTATAGAGGTTTCAAGGAAAGAACCTACTGTCATCCAATAAAAGCTTTTAAAACTCTCAGCTATTAAGCAGGCTCCTTGGTCTGAGTCTGTGGCAACTTAACAGATTTCAAAGATCTCTTTTTGGACAACGAATAAGAACTTTACAGCTAGTGCTTGACTTATGACCACGATTGGACTTATAACACGATTTGGTTGTAAGTTGAGTAGGCTATATGTACAGTTGAAATGGTGCACGCGGAGATGGTAGTGCTGCCAGAAGCTGGTCCGCACTGTTGTACGCCCAGCTGGGCAACGTTTGCGCTGCCAGACGTGGAGCAGTCGTGGCTAGCAATTGTGGTCGTAAAGTTGAATGGTCTTAAGTTGCATAGGTGGTAAGTCGATCAATACCTGTATTCACCTTAACATTTACAAAAGTGCCTGGGGCATGTGTTTCAGAATTTCATCATCACCAAGAAGGTAATAATAGATAAAGGACCACATTTCAGTGCTAGACGGTAGCAGAGTCTAGCCAGACTTGCAGTTTTTCTTGAAATTAGTAGACTGCATGAGCATAAGAACATTCAAATGTTAGGCTATCTTTTTTTTTTAAGTCTGCAAAAGCAACCCATATTCTCAGAGAGGGCATATGTGAAGACAGTAAATGGGAGCCTTTGACTCCATGACTCACGGAATATCAGAGATTGTAGGGAGCTCAGATCACCTCGCTCCCCAGTGCCAAGGGCAAAACTGGAGAGACACTCTAAATAACCAGCTGATTTGCCCAAAGTCACATGGCAAGAAGAACGCTAAGATTACACCTCAGGTCTCTTGTTATCCATATAAAAATGGAATTTAAAAGTATTATTATTAGGCATTTGCTAATTTGTTGAATTTATATGAGCTTTTCAAATGACAATTTCAAATATCATGAAAACAGTATCTTCATGTCCGCACACCCAGAACAATAGCTACTGAGAGGGCTTGGTTGGCATGAAGGGGCTGCCCCCAGGAACTGCATGTGACTAGGAAACTCCTAGATCTGAAGACACACAGGTTGAGAAGCTTATACTCTTTCCCTTCAAGGCTGGTCAATGCTGGCCAGTCTCCCATTTTTCACTCTTCTAAAAAGCCCATTCCCCTCTGTGTTGACAAGAACCCCTGGGAATGCCACAGGGCAAACATGGGGCTGGGCACTGAAACATCTACTACAGCTTCTCGGCGCCCGCCCTGTGAAGCTAGAGTCCCATGTCCCTCTGGTGCCTACGGCTTCCTCCTTCAGTAGCAGGCTCCTTTCTCTTCTAAATTATATCCTAGGTCTTAGTCCAGACCCTGGCATAGCCATGGTGCCAGTAAATATTATTGAAGAAGTAAATTTAGGTTTGAAAGTACCAACCTTGGTACCTATATCCCACAGTTTCATTCTGGAAGAAAGGATATCGTTTATCTACTGGCTGACAGCTGAAAGGGCATCTCTATGCTTTCTTAGTAAATCATGGCTTAAAAAAACCTCTCTCCAATATTACTCTATATAAAGCCTTTAAAAGGAAAGCTAGGACTTGGTGATGAAATTTCAAACAAGATGACTAGCTGAAGAAAAAAAAAAATTTAGAGTTGAAGGGGTGAGGTGAGTAGGCATAGAAGTAAGCGTTTCTAGGTCCTTCAAAACAGACCAAATCAGCAATCACTGAAATTTGTTTGCTCACTACAGGCCTAAGAAAGGCCCTGGTATCTTTAACTTGATTCTGAGCGGCCTCTTATTTTCCAGGAGCTATACACAGTGTATCCTGCTATATGTACCAGAAACCGGGCATTATCAAAACCTGAATTGTTAAAACATTTGTTTCCATGGGATTAAGGGCTAAAGAATTTCCAATTCACAATTAACAATAAGACTTTTTTTTTTAACATAGAAATTTCCAAATTACTGTTTTTAAAGTAAATAGTATACAGCTATGACCGGGCACAGTGGCTTACGCCTGTAATTGCAACACTTTGGGGGGGCGAGGTGGGCAGATCACTTGAGGTCACGAGTTTTGAGACCAGCCTGGTCAATGTGGTGAAACCCCAATTCTACTAAAAATGTGAAAAAAATTAGCTGGGAGTGGACTGTTAAAAAAAATTACTCAGGGGCTGAGGCAGGAGAATTGCTTGAACCCAGGAGGCAGAGGTTGTAGTAAGCCAAGATCGTGCCACTGTACTCCAGCCTGGGTGACAGAGCAAGAGTCTGATAAAATAATAAAATAAAATAAAATAAAATAAAATAAAATACAGTGAATAGTGTACAGCTATAAAAAGTAAGCACTACTGAACAAACCCAGTAGTACTGAAGATCCAAGTGTATTTGATTACATTTGGCTTTCATTCAATAAACCTCTCTTTGATGATAGCTAGCATTTAGGAGGGCTTGCTCTGAGCTGTGTGTACTATATTCATTGTTTTAGACGCATTTTCTCATTTCCTTCAAACCTACTTAAAAATATCTACTATGTGCTAGGTACTGTTCTAGGCACTGGTAATAAAAACAAAAATGTCCTTGTCTAGAAAGAGTTTCTATTATAGTGAAATGTAATCTTCATAACATTTAATCCTCATTACACCTCTATAAGGTAGGGACTGCTATTATTTCTACTTTACAGATAAAGAAACTAAGGCAGACAAAGGGTTAATAAATTGCTCAAGGCCTTTCTTCCCACCCCCCACCCCAGGTCATCAACAGGTGGCCAAGGCTTCTCACACATTCTAGCCAGCTATCACCTAAAGTACAATGCCACTTTAACAAGGCAGCCAGTTCTCGATTTGGGTGTTGGTATAATATAATTAATAGCTATTTGTGAATTTTAAATCTTGTTGCCTAATTAATTGATCCCCTTATAATGGAAATGCTTTCCCTAGGAGAAATGCATATATTTTATTCTTGACACATGTGATAAAGGAACCCCAGCTCTCATGATCACAGCCACACAGCATTGATTTATACTTACCGTAGAATAAATTGACGATGTGCTGGAAACCAAGGAGAGTGAGGATCCATGAACTAGTAAAAGAAAAAAAAAGGTGAATTGATAGATGGCTGTTATGGAACCAAAAAGGGGAGAAGGGAGGAGAAACTCAGCAACACAGGACACCCCAGGCTTGGAATGACTTAATCTCACCTTGGTTCAACCTTTTCTGGTTTGGCAATAGGTCAGTGACAAATAAGTAATAGTCTGCTAATGATGTCACTTTTCTATTACCACATTTTTCCTTCAACCTTCTGAATACTTTTTCTCTTGACTGTCAAAATAATATATGATACTGAACAAAAATTTTCAAGTACAGAGAAGTGTTAAGAAGCATATTCACTGTCACAACCTGCAGTGACTCACAATCTCATTGCCCGGAGGGAACCTGTTACTTTTCCAGCATATTTTGCTTTACTCTTTTCCAATGTATTCCTTTAGGGTTAGAACCGTGTTGCATATACACTTTTTTTTTTTACCCTGTTAGCATCTGTCAGTTGTATATGCAAAAAACTGAGCTGATTATTTTGAATCTAAGATGCTGTTGGCCACAGTTAAGTTCTTTCTAGATCACCATATAGCAGAATATTTGTTTAGAAAACATATCCATCCAAAGACAGATTTTTTATTTGATTTCTATAATGTCTACAAAGTGACGAGCAAGTGGTATCTTCTTTTATGTTTCAAACTGGTACATTTTGACTAGAACCAACTTGTATGTCCTTAGCACCTCTTCCAGTCCCCAGCCAGTGGAGACATTTTATTATTTGTTCTAATTTTACAGCATAGTCTTTTCTAGGACTTGGGTATTCTGGCTGCCTTCTTTTGTGGGAAGCAGGTTCTTTATTTTCTTGGTAACTTCTTGACAACTTGTTTGAAAAACAGAAATATTCCTATGTCAAGACCTCATAGAACTTTTGACTGGGCACAGCTTTCCTGGCCATGGGTGGAATGGCTCTACTCCCACACCGAGCTATGACCTGTAGTCTAAAGTGGGAGGCACGGGGGTAACTTCCACATGTAGTAAATGGCATTCATCTACCACCCACGAAGTGAACTCACCTTGGATTAGTAATCAGCAGAAGCTACATGCCAACAAGATAGCTGATAAGTACCTCAGCCTTAGGTTCCTGTCTGTCATCTTTCCAATAAATCTTCCCTGACCTCTCATTCCTCCCTTATATGTTCCTGTCACACTATGAATCCTGTACTGCTCTCCCAAGCTTGCCCTAGACAGTACTTTCTCTGCCCATGCAGTTCTCTTTGTTTAGGCTGCATCTAAATACTGTCTATCTAAAACAGTTCTGCTCAAATGACATCTTCTCCATGGAAGCTTTCCTCATCTCCCTGACTGCCACCTGGGGGGCTTCCTCCTCCCTCTGAACCCACGTAACTCTTGGCTTGCCATTCCAGGCCTCTTCTCTCAGCAGGTCCCTAATGCTCTAAGTTGTCCCTATATCATCAGGTACATCCACCCTCCTTAGCAATGCCCTGCATTCTAGATCTCTTCCACCACTTCTTCCTTCACTCATGACTAATTTGACTTCATGCCCATAAAAAATCAGGTTAAGGCGTTAATGGCCAATAATGGCTTTCAGTGTTAATATGTCCACAAATTAACAGAGGCCTTTAATGTCCCAACTTAGTGGCCTAATGTTCCACAGAGGTAAGTTAACTCAGCTTATGACACAGACATTAGTGGAGGAATTATGTTGGAGGCCAAGTTGGGTGAAGAGACATGGGTAACACATAGCCATGCACACTTGCATGACTGGCCTGCCAGAGACCAGCACATGGCTGCTATATGGCCTTTTTCTTTTTCTTTTCTATTTCTACATCTCACACACATAAACTTACTGACACGGTTTTAACAACAACTCAGTGCAAGCGTGGGGCCACAGGCAGAGAAGAACACATCTGGCAGGCTTAAGGTAGTGGTAATTGTTTTTCTCAATAATTAACTCCCCTCACTTTGTAAATAGCGATAGCAAGGCTGTATTCCAAACAGACAGATTCCTTGATTTTCAGAGTCAACCCAAAACTGAATGTGGCTTGCCTGAACCATTGCAGTTGGCCCTCCTTCAAGGGACTTGAGCCAAGTCAGAGCCTGGGTTATGCAGTGTGGTTATTTTTGGACAACAAAATGCCTATGGGAGTTACAAAGGCCAAACAGCTAAAGTAGGCTATGTAATTTTCCTCCCTATAGCTATACCTCCATATTTTTTTCAGCTACAAGGAACTGCAAAGAATATCTAGGCCATTTCTACCATTGAGAAATCTGAAACTCAGAGAGGTTAAATGACTTGCTAAGGTCACACAGCAATTCAAGAACAGGGTCTGCTGACTAGAATTCAGGAGATTGCTCTGCCTTTGAGTGATCTGTTTTGCTGGTTTCTGATTTGTTTGTTTGCTTGTTTTATTTTAAAGAGCCTTTTGGTGTCTTTTAGAATGGTGTCCTAGTTCCTTCATGCAATCTACACATGGGCACAAGCTAGGAATGTTCGAGAAGAAAGATGCTTTAGGAGGTGTGAAAACACTAGACAGAATAAAACAACTATGCATATTCCAGCCAGTGAAGCAATCAAGTTCCTCTGACCCTCATCACAGAGAATCTGCAAGTAACAATCCCAGACTAGGCAGGAGTTTCCACCCTTAATCAACAGCATAATACATTAACTCTCAGAGTGGTTAAGTGATGTAGCCACACACAGAACTAGTCAGGAGCAGAGAGAATATAGATCTAGGCATGATGATCTACTTCTCATTCCACAGTTGAGTACTGTGGAAAGAGTCAGGAAGAATGAAATGTAGTTCTGATGACTAATGCGCTGCCCTGCCTCTCCATCAGCAAAGGAAGCATTGATAAAAGATCAGAGCTTGCCTAAGACAGGTTTAAAAAAAAAAAAAAAAAAACAGCTGAGTCACATATCAAGGCAGGATTGAGTAGAAAGAAAGAGGGACTGGAATCAAGAGGCTTAAGACATCATTGTGGCTGCATAAAGGCATCAAGTCATGGCACCAAGAAAAAAAAAAAAAAGAAAAAAGTCATCAAGTCACTTTTGCCGAAATTTTGCCATTAAAAAAAAAAATGAGGATGATAATGGCCCTTGGGGAGAAGGCCATAATGTGACAATTATAACAATAGCTACCATTGAGTGAGCACTTACAGTGCTCCCCTTTCAAAGTTACTTGTTAAATGCTTTCCAAGATTTATCCCACCTAATCTTCACTTCAATTTTCCAAAGCAGGTACAATTATTTTCCACATTTTAGTGAATAGGAAACAGGTTGAGCAGGTCAAGTCCTTTCTCAGAGTCACATTGCTAACAGTAGGGGTGTCAGGATGTGAACCACTACTGCAACTCAGAGGCTGGAAGCACAAGGAAGCTGCAATACAAGCTTTCTTGGTTAATAAGCTTCTCTGCTCCTGGGGATTCCATATAAACTGATAGGGTGGAGGGTTTCTGTGCTTTTCATTGCATTAGCTCTCAGTGATGATTGGTGAAGTCACAGGATTTTTTTTTTTCTCTAGAATCCATTTTAAAAATGCCTCAAGCATCTCCTTAAATGTATGCTATTAAAGTTGACTTTAAGATTGCATAATGCATCTGATAGAAATTAATTTACCTGAAACACTTTTGAAAGGCTGTATCTGGGCCATGCCTGTATGTAATCTACATATTTATGATACCTAAAACTCCTTCAAAGTGGAAAGTACTAATTAAATTGCACGAAAACCTCACACAAATACCTGTGCTACTTCTTCCTAAATTTCTATTCTGCTTTGTGGTATATAATGCATCTAACTGATTATTGCAAGGAGGTTCTGTTTGGTCCAAACATAAAATGTCAATTTTCTTCCAACTGCTCCTGCAAATACTGGGAGTTAATAAATTCAAAAGAAAAAGGAATTTCACCAAAATGAATTAAAAAGCTTTAATTGTGTTATTAAATTACACAAGCCCTATTTTGTTTTTGAATGTAATACTCTAAGAAGAAATAAAATCAATTTGATGCCATATTTTCCAAAAGATGAGAATGTTATGTATTCACAGTGTATTGACAGCAGTCCCTACCCATTCCCCTAAGGTGTGACTTTTACCTCTGTGCTTCAGTTCCACATCACCATGAATCATTAGGTTTACAAAAGTCTAGACACTGCTTGTGGGCAAGCACTTTGTATCAATGTCATTTGACATCCCAGATATTCCATAGTTGTGCTGCCTGCCAGCTTGATTCCAGATGGAATAAATAAAAGCTCTCTGATGACGATACTGTAATGGTCCTGGACCTTTATGAGGCGAAGTGTGCTTGTTTGGACAAGTTTCAGTACTGAATGTGGTTCACTCAGGAACACACATGACAGAGAAGATGAATACAGTTAGGGACACACTCCATATGCAAATCCTTCCCAGGGAGGTTGGAAAATGCTCCGTGGCGATACTTGCCCAGTACACTGATGAGAAAGAAGTTCAAGACGAACCATCTCTTCCTTCACCTTAGGCTCACAGGATATTCTCTACTATCACTGCTCTGAGCGGTTACAGCATTAATTTCTAGCTCTTAAATTTCACAAGTGCCCCTCAGTGACTCAGGCTTCTCCCCTCCTTAATCCTCCGTTCCCAGCAGCTTCCCATATATGGATTTACAGACTTATGCCTGTTCACCGAATGTCACTGGATGCAAATGATACATAAATCTGGGTGAAAAGCATTAAGTTGCCAAGAAGATAAACCAAGGGCAATTGTTCTGTAAATAAATTCTTTAAAATTTCTGTTAAAAAGAACATTAGGCAAAAGCAGAATCTTATGTCTTATTTTGACTTGAAACTTCCTAGACAATCACAAGTTTGTTTGTTCTTTCATGTTGAGAGGATGCCGGCCGTATTTCCCTACTCACATGCGGACTGGAAAGCACCTATAACTCGCCCTCCACATTCAGTTTTGTCAATAGTAATAAAGGGACAACTAGCTGTACAGTCCTCAGCCTGGGCTCCATTTGCTCCAAGATTCCCTATTCTCTGGCTGGGGACTTTGAGCTGCTAGGAAGGCAATGCTGAAGCTGTATTTTTACAGCTATGTTATTGTAGCTTTATGGCTGTGTTATTACAGGCCATGATATGTAATAACATTATTGTGTTAACATTTATATGTATTATCTCATTTAATTCTCATAATTCCATGAGCTGAATACTATTATTACTCCTGTTTTATCCGTGAAAAAACAGAGGCACAGAGATGTGAAGCAACTTGCCCAAAATCATACACCTAAAAAGCAGTGGAGCTGGATTTTAAACTCTGCTAGCCTGACTCCATATTCTTAATCACTGGTTGATGAGTATTGCCTCCAATGTCTTAACAGCCCCATCTTCATGGGGTAGGGGTCCTCCACAGAATTTTGACTGCTTACTTTCCTAACTTATACCTTGGGTGATGGAACAAAGGGAGAGAGAAATGAAGTGAGCTATGAAGGCGGCTGACAAAGTTGTCTACAGAACTTTTCTCCCATGATTCTGATTAAAATGAACAAAACATAAAAATCCAACCCCAGATATTCACAGTTAGCAACCAAAGAAAGAAAAGGGCATACCTGAACATAATGAACTTAAAAAGCCAGTACTTGAGAAAAGAGATGAAAAATTCTGGAGCAGAGCAGAGGGGCATGGCTGCCCGGCCCACAGAGCTACATGGGTATGTCAGCACAGGGAAATGAACTCTCCAGAAGTTCTCCCTGCCAAGATGATGAGCCAGTGGCTGAACCTCGAGGTGGAGATGCATGCCAAGAAGCTGTGGCCCAAGTCCAGGAGGGAGAAGCCTAAAGCGGAACTCAGTCAGCTCTACGGTTCACCAATGTTTTTTAAGCAGCCTCCTCCTTAAAGGCCTGGAAGGTTAACAAACGGTCAGGCCAGACTTTACTCTTCAGATCCCCTTCCCTGACCCCCAGAGTAGGTGGGAGAGGTGGGAGCATTTACAGGTGGGCTCTCAGGTTAGCAAAGTGAACTTAGCATAGAGGACCCTACACTGAGTAACCTGGGAGATGGTTTAAGTTTCCTTCCTTACCTTCTTCAAACCCATCCCGGAATGAGCCTGAACGGCTCATAGTTCTGCTCTTCTCATCCAGAGACATGGAGCTGTTCCGGAAGCGGCTGTCAGTGTATGGATCATACTGCCCATCGGCATTGGAGAGGCTGTGGGTCCTCAGCATGGTCGGGTTGGACAAGCTCATCTGGGTGACAGTAGTGGGACTCGCTAGAATAAAAGGAACAGAATCAAAAGCTTGGACATTCATGTCTCTGTTCAAATCCTGGTTGGGGACAAAGAGAAGATTGCTTATTGTTAGCCATACATGTTCCTGCCAATTCTTCTCCCATCTGCTTTCTAAAAGGTAGTCGCATCAGCACTTGAGTTACACACTGGGAGCTAAAAATAAGAGTGGAAAGGCAGGTCAGCTCCAAAGCAAGGCTCTGGGCCTCAGCTTTCCCACTTGGCACGTTTAGACAGGCCAGTGTCACCTTCCAGGCATGAGCTAATTACTCCCCAGGCTCATCTGGAATGATTTTCTCTAAAGCCAAAAGCCCAAAATAGTCCAACCAGGCTTTTGATCAGATGGGAAGCATTTGTACATGACAAGAATCTCTTGCCTCAAAGAGTTATGGCTGGGAAAGAACAATATGAACACAGGTCTCATTGCCTCAGATGGGGTACATTTAATGTTGTATAAAGGTTTCAATACAAAGGAGGCACATTTGTCTCAGCCAAAACTAGCTTTCTTATGAAAATCCTGTCCATTTGAGTAATGTGCAGTATTTTCAGAGGTACTCATTTAGTCCATCAGAAATGAAGAGTTAAACCTCACTTGCTTACAAGCCACCTCTATCCTTAAATACTTTGAATTTGTTATTCACTATATTCAGAAAAGGCTGCCTCCCTAAAGAGTGAGATGAGATTAGAAAAGATTTCTCATCCTCTATCAGTCCTTCAAGGCTCAGCTCCTACCCTGCCACCTTCATGGTAACCTCTGTCAATAACTCCAGCCAGCACTAACTTTTCCTTTTTCTAAAGGTGTCTAACGCTTGCTATCTAATTATATTCAGCTTTTACATGGTTTCATATAAGGCTTTGGATTGCTGTCTTTTGCCCTGTTATACAGGTGTGCATTGACATGTTTGTCTTTCTGAAAAAGAATCCATTGACATGTCAGCAGGGACTGTGTCACAAATTCTTTTCCTTTCCCCGCTGTGCCAGTCAAAGCATTATGTCAGAAGTAGGCATTGTTAAGAACACCTATTCAATCAAAACTTAACTTTTATTTCCAGCTTAATAAAGCAATGAGGATAACCCAACATGGGATATGCGTAAAATCTACTTCTTCAGAGGTCTTAGAAATAGAATGCATTCTTTTTAAGAATGGGATAACATGTACTTTGCCATAGCCCTACCTGTATCAACCACATGAAGGAAATCATTGATTAGAGTGTCAAAAACTTTACTATTTTCTCTATTTCTTTAGCTATCTATCTCCTATAATCAAACTATATTGCTGAGGGCTGACCAGACACTGAGAGTGATGTGACTATATGTCTATTTCAAAATATAAGATAACTCAAGTGATGATTACACCAAAATCTCAGAAATCACCATGAAAGAACTTATCCATGTAATCAAAAACCACCTGTTCCCCAAAACCTATTGAAGTAAGAACATATTTTACATATATAAGATAACCACTGCCCTATGGAGCTGATCAACAAGGCTAATGACAAGTGGCTACTCACCAAGCTGGGAAAAGTTGAATCTTGTTCCAGAGGGAGAAGTCACGCTGGAGCCAGAGGAAAAGGGGGAATTGGCAGCGGTGTCCTGCAGGCCTCCTGCAGAGTGGGACCGTAACCATTCTTTTGCATCTTCTTGCGTGCGAAGCTGAGAGGTGGGAGTATACCTGGACAGACAGAAATCAAGCTAGAATTAACTACGAACAACGCTTATTAAAATGAACTCTGTGGAGCTGATGATAAATACATAAAAAGAAAACATATATCTAAAGATGATTTTTTAAAAATCAGATCACTACACACCCCAAAACTTATGAAGTTTCTCAAAACCTTTTTTCTATTTGGCTGTGTTTGGGGAAAATGACAATTCCTTTCAGTTTGGAGGGAACACATAAAGGGAAGAAGATCAGTAAATGCTCAGAAAAGCCGTCACTGGGCGTATCTGTAACATGTTGCTTCATGACAGTGTCATGTCAAAGCCCCCACCTTGACAGGACTGAAGCAACAAAATGAGCTGCTGTTAGAGCTTTGAGGGAGTTTTAATTAGACAGCTCATGGCATCTGCCATTCTTAGCACAAATAAATGATCATGAATCACAGCACATGAAAAAGCAGACATACAAAGCAAGGTCTGAGGACACTGATGCAGTCGTTGCTGTAATTGAGCATAAACAAATCTTCATAAAAGGAACCCCAAATCATTGGGTTTCATAGGAGAGGGTCTTTAGAAGTTATGTGGTCCACCTCCTCATTTATTCTGAAATGCATATGGTGATGATTTACTGAACGTCTGCAATGTGCTGGGTGCCTTCATGCGCATTATCTCACCAAAGCCTCAGACCTACTCAGCAATGCAGATGCCATTATCTGCATTTTACATTCAGGGAAGGTAAGGACCTTGCTGGGAGTCAAAGAGTTGAGATTTCAATCCATGTTTGATTTTAAAATGCATGCTCTTTTCATTATGCCCATAAGTAGCATCTGAAATTTCTTTTCCTATTCTTTTCTTTTCTTTTTTTTTTTTGAGATGGAGTCTCACTCTATTGCCCAGGCTGGAGTGAGGTGGCCCGATCTTGGCTCACTGCAACCTCCACCTCCTGGGTTCAAGTGATTCTCCCACCTCAGCCCCCGAAGAAGCTGGGACTATAGGCGTGTCAGCTAATTTTTTGTATTTTTAGTAGAGAGAGGGTTTCACCATGTTGGCCAGGCAGGTTTCAATCTCCTGATCTCAAGTGATCTGCCCATCTCAAGTGACCTTCCGAAGTGCTGGGATTACAGGCATGAGCTACCACACCCAGCCTGCATCTGAAATTTCAAGTGCCAAGTGGCCAGGGTACCCTTGGACTTACGTATTATGAAGTGACTACTGATTATGTACATAGAGGGATTCCTTGAGCTTAGGGGAAGATGCCGTCGGTGTGTTAGTACTGGATGCTCATGTGTATGGAGTGGCTGAGCTAGACAGGAGGAGTCAGAGGGAGCACAGAAATGCTTCTTCCTTAATGTTTTTACTATATCTGACAGATATGCAACTTTCTAGGACACATCAATTGCCTGACAATAGCCTGTCATATATCTCTATTCTGAATTTTTAAAAAACCGATGCTACATAATTTTGATAGGCCAGATGTGCCGCAGAAGTATATGCGCCATTTCAAAATGTTAACATTTGGAGCTTAGCTTCCTCTCAGGGCACCAGTGGGGCATCAAAATCAGACTCACAGTGAGAGTGGACACGATTTAAGCACCTGGCATGGCTGTTGACAAGCAGCTCACAGGCACGACTGAAGCTGGTAAGCACAAAAGGCCTTGCCAAGGCCCCCTCTAAGGCCAGGCTGCTCAACTCCCTCCTGTAGGACAACTTCTGGGAGATTCTAATACTTTCTTAGATTCTTGTAATTGGCTTTACTCAGGCTCCCATTGAAAGGAAGCATTGATACCTACCTCACATTACTGTTCAAAATGCTCTCAGTCTTAAGAGCTGCAGGTTATGAACTACAGACACACATGACAGCAATGAAACATTTCATTCCAAGTTCCATTTTATGCGAAAGCACTTAATGCTTAGTGCAGGGTGAAGCTGATGCCACAAAGCACGTGGTGTTTAGAAAGCAGGAGAAATGACAGCTGCAACCATCAGACAGCAAGATCATGGGGGCGGCGTTAGCAAACTGAAGCTTCTCTGATTGGCAAAGTGATGTAGATGGTGTGAGCAATGCTGACTTATAGCATCTTGTTTTGCCAGGACTAGCACCAAAAATGAACTGGAGCCACCACTTACTAGGAGTGGAAGACAGTCCTTCCTGGGAGTCTTTTATTATCCACCAAAAAATGATCACACCCATGTCTTGTTGGGCATTGAAAGTAAACCAATTTTCCATTAGAATATATAGACAAGTGCAAAGTATCTGTCTAGCTATTTTGTACTGGCAGAGAAGTTAAATATTTTCAAATCTGGGGAAAATATTCCTCTCCTGTGCTCTTGTCCTAGCTTACAAATCAGTATGCTATAAGTCATGTCCTTTCTCTTAGAAAACAGCCATGTAAACAGAATGGTCACGGTGAAGTGCTCAGAGATTCAACCCACTGGTCCCAGAAGTAGCAGTGACTGCTCCTTGGGCTTGCCCAGGGATGTTTTTCATGAGATGGTTTTACCACATGAAGCCTGAAAAAGCACAGCCCCTGCTCAAGCAAATAAGCAGACAAATGGAGAGTGAGAACGACAGGGTGCAAGAGGAGCCATCATCCAAGAGGTCCTGCTGTGGTGGTCAAAGCGGGGACCCCAGTCCAGCCCAAACCCCCACCAGCCATGAAGGAGCCACACAGCCAAGCTCCAAAGCCACAACAGATGGCACAGATGCAAGGAGGAAACACAGATACCTGAGTCCTTTCTTAGGCAAAGTGTTCCTATCAAGGTGCGGGTCACTGTAGGAAAGTTAAAACAAAAATAAGAACTTCAGAGCAGCACAGGAAGGCAGGAAGAGGGAGAGCTAGGGAGGGGGCTGCAGGGCCCTGGAGAAAGAGGCACACATCACCAGGAAGTGCCTTATCCAGCTAGGCATGCAATGCAACACATCCACATCCACGGAAAACAAAAGAAACCCAATCCTCAGCCAGAGCTGACACCAGCGCATACTTTACCCCAGGTCACCAGGAGGCCTGAGTCCCTTAACCCCAATTGTTCTTCCTTTTCCACAGATTCAAAGCAAAACTCAGGGGTTGCCCCACCTCAAAGCAGAGGTCCCGTGCCTTCTGCTGCCCAGGGGCCCTCTCTGCACCAACACAGCTTCTCAGAGAGAAGGATGCCCGCTTCTCTGCACCCCTAACTCTGGCCCGCCCCCTAAATCCCACTAGCAATGACTTCAAGTGGGAGAAGGGACTTGTTGGAGGTTTCAAGAGGCCAGCAGTCTGCATATTTGGAATTCATCTGTAACGAAGTGAATTCCAGGTCCCTCTCAATTTCTGCGGCTCAGGCATAGCTAGGAGCTGAGTCCTGGGTGGGGCATGTTACAACTTGCTGGCTGATAAAGTCAAAGCATTTGGATTTCCAAAGACCAACGGTTTAAAGGCTTGGTTTGTGGGCTGACAAAAACAAAGTTTTCTCTGTTGGTGGGGTGAAGGCTTTTTTTTTCTTCTTCTGGCAGGAGACAACATTGCCTGTTATGTTTGGCCAAGTCATCGCTCCCCCACAAATTTAAGGTCAGTATCCATCTTGAGGCCCACCCACAGCTGGGGGCAAAGACAAGCATGTACATTCGTAAAGTCTTAACACTCTACATATTCTTTTTCATTATCATCGCAGGAGATAGGCACACAGAACACAACAGTCTGCAAGACATAATGAGCCAAACTGCAGCAAAGGATTTTGAAAGGGAGAAGAGGCAGCTGCTTGGGGAGGGGTAGACAAAGGTGAGGGCCAAGCTGCACAGTGGGTGGCAGGTCATTTCTGGGCTTGGGGATGGGGTGGCGAAAGGAATGGGAAGGGAGCTCAAAAGCAGGAACATGCCACCGGAGGCCACAAGAGATGCAAGCGAGAGCTCCGGCTGCCCCAGATTAAGCATCAGGGTTTGAGGTCGGCTTCCCAAAATGGGAATGAAGGGGCCAGCCCAACTCCATCTCTCCCTGGGTGTTAGCAGACAGAGGAACAGACTCTCACTGGCATGTCCATGTGTCACGGAGTACACTAGAGCCACAAACACAAGCAGGAGCCTTAGGCCAACAGCCTCGCACAAGACATCTGGCTTGACAACGAATGGGCAGAAGAACCTAGAGGCTCGGTGGGTCCCCGGCCTGCAATGTCATTACCTGTCCTGTTTCCTGGGCAGAGTACTTCTGCAGAACTTAGGGCTAGCAGCAGGGGAAGAGAGAGGGCTAGAAGTCCAGGCAGGTAGAAAACAAGAGAAGGAACATTAGCTTGGAAGAAAGGAGAGGTGCTGTTATATACATTTTTCTCATTCCCCATGCTGATCCTTGCTTTCTTCCCTAGGTGCAGAAACTGGACACCTTTATCCCTGCTGTAGTGAAATCCGGGGCTCTGAAAACACTTTTAACTTCTTGATTTCCTATCAATATGGGAGAAGGGTGTTTGCCACGATGACAACACATCTACCCAGCCGTCTAAAGAACATCCTACTACACACTCCATGGCTGTACCCAGTCACCTACCCTGCTTGCACAATTACAAGGGGAGGGAAAAGAAGGTGTTGATGAACAAACAGGATAAAACTGAAGGATTTCAAAGGCTGAATGCCATTTCAAATGGTAGCATAAACCTGCCCCCAAGAGACTGAGCAGCTCCAAGCACCAAGAATAAACAGAGGAAAAGATAACAGGAAGCAGAGCCAAGCTTGATCCCATCCCAAACTGGCTGCCTCGTGAAAGACAGCAGTAATTAGAGAGAGACATCTCACAGGCAAAGGCTGTTCGACATTTGGGACTCCTAAGCTAATCTTTTTATTTTTGGAAGGGTGACTTTCTGAGAAAGGCAGCCAGAGGCACAGCACCAACCTTTCTGACAGTGTGGTCTTCACACTGTTTGTTCTGACAAAGGGAGTCAGGGAGTCGTCCTTGGAGGAGGCGATGAGGCCAATGGAAGAATTGTGGCTGGGGCCCCCTCCACTGCTGAGGGAGATGTCGATGGACTCACAGCTGGTGTGGAGGCTGCTGACAGACTGGAAGCCCAGGCCATCCTTGCTAACTGCGGAGGAGCTGCTGGCGTTGGTGCCCCAGGTGAGGCTGTTGGAAGGGCCCGAGTGGGCTGAGCTGGGGCTGGAGGCTAGTGGAGACTGGTTGAGGTCCACATTCTTGCTGTAGAGAGGACTGCTGCTCCCACTGCTCAGGACGCCACTGCCTGACGGGGAGTCTAGATTACCTTGCTGAGTCATGGTGGCATGAGGATTGGAGATGACCACCGAAGTTTTCATGTTTTCAGCTGTGGCGATGGGCACTTGCTTGGCAGGCTTCCCACCAAAGAGTCTGTGAAGAGACAAACGGTTGTGTAGGTTGAACACCCAGTGCCAAGAGGCACCAGACTGTTAAAGAAGGGAAGGGCAGAGGAGTTGGTGAGAATTCTTGCGGCAGGAAGCACAGCCATTCCTGCTGAAATGGCTAAAGGTACTTCAGGGGAAGGTCGGCCATAAAGTGGGCCTGGACACTAGTGTATCAGATAGCCGTCTTCAAGTTCTAAGCTGCAGTGAAGATTCTTACTCTATCTGAGCTAAAGACCCATGAGTAATAATTTTCTAAAGGCCTATCCACGTTACACTGGGCCAAGATCTTACTTCCCTTTTTTTTTTTCAATAAACAGATTAACTAGAAAATTGCCCTGGCCCAGGAAACATCCAGAGGGAAGATAGTTGTCTTCATCGTCTTGGTCTCCATGACCCTAGGCATAAAGCAGGCACACAGTTTATGACAGCTTAACTCTTTTTTTCTTTTTTTGAGACAGAGTCTTCACTCTGTTGCCCAGGCTTGAGTGCAATGGCATACTCTTGGCTCACCGCAATCTCCGCCTCCCGGGTTCAAGTGATTCCTCTGCTTCAGCCTCACTAGTAGCTGGGATTACAGGTGCGTAGTACCACGCCCAGCTACTTTTTGTATTTTTAGTAGAGACAGGGTTTCACCATGTTGGTCAGGCTGGTCTCGAACTCCTGACCTTGTGATCTGCCCACCTCAGGACAGCTCAACTCTAAGGGATTTGGTTTCTTGACCTCTGAGCACAACACACAGAATCAAGAGCATCAGTCTAGATCTGGAGGGGGCCTGGGAAAAATACCTTCAGAGATGTCTCCACAATAGAAAGCGTAACTTGAAAGATGTAGCTTTTGAAGCCAGAGCGCTTACTTATCCAATGACATACATGGAAATCTTTCTGGGTTCACAAGACATCAGACCAGATACACTGGGTGTGAACTGTGTCTCTGTGACAGACACACAGAAATGCCATTCTATGACATCTCCCCTGATCGTGGCCAAAAATGTGCCATCAGACTACTGTGAATGACATAAACGCCCTCTCTTCCACTGGCAGAGAACTCTCTGAAAGAATGTTAAAATTATCTTAAATTCAGATAATTGTCCACATTCTAGTAATGCAAAGGCTTTACTACACTCATTAAAACCCGCATGGAGTAAATATCTCAGTGACAACACTACTATGTATTCTGCCATGCACATTGCTTTGGTGCTCACAGTGGTGAGAGTTTGATCTCTCTGTCCTCTCCAAACAGTCCTATAAATTATCTCAAGTATTGTAAAGACAATCAATCAATCAATCCTTACTACAGTGTGTGGTAGCAGAAGGGAAACACTTTGTGACTGGTGACAACCAGGGAATGAAAGCTCCTAATGTAGAATCTTGGCTTTAGAATACTTATATACTTCCAGTGATGACAAAGACCTCGTTACTTCAAAGGGTGCCTTGCTCCATTGCCAAGCACTTTCAATTATTAGAAAACCCAAATCTCATCCACGTTTTTTTTCCTGACTTTTGGATATTGCTCCTCATCCTACTATGCATGACTATATAGAAAAGTCTAATCTTTTGTCTATTAGTCCTTTCAATCATTTGAAGAGCATTATCTATCACATTTCACCTAAGATTTTTCTCTAATACACATCAAGAGAACTGAGAACACCTTAACGATTTAGGAAAAAATGTAATTTACCAGGAATTGGCTGAAGGTCTTCAATGCAGAGCCCCAGGAGCTGCATGCATTTTCAAGCATTCTATTACACTAGCCTCAGGGTCTAGTAAAATGCCTTTGTAGTTAGTAAAGGAAATCTATAATACCAAAGAGTGAATATTACATATAATACTTGAGGCAAGAAACAGAAAATTTTCATTTACAAGGCAATCTGTTAAAACAACAAAGAGCAGCCCAATAGACTTACCCCGGGAAAAAAAAATCATTACTGAAATTCTAATAATCAAGTCTAGACAAAGAACAGTGAAGTGATTCATTATACCTTTCATGTGGAATGCTTCTTCTGAAGTCTTTTCACACATTCCTGTTCATCCCCAAATATGTATGTGTGCATATAATTTTTATTTTCTCACTGCTTGATTTTCTTTCCTTGGGACTTTTTCTTACAATAAGAAATTTCCTGGGAAGGTAGGATGGACTGTAACCCATGTAGTTGTAGTTTGAGGATGGTCCAGTGTATATTATAATAAGGTAAAAAAAGGCAAAAGTTGAATAAATTTATTAAAACAAGTGAGTAATTTTTTTACATCTAGAGCTTCCACCCAGTGTGAAAAAGTGGGGAAATGATGTCTATTTAAGGTAATAGGAAATCAATTTATCTTTTTCAGAAATATTTCTTCTTTAAGAGGTCTGTGTGTGCGTGCGTGCGCGCGCGTGTGTGTGTGTGTGTGTGTGTGTGTGTGTTAGGGAGGGGGAAGTTGAAATTTCAGACTGACTTGGAATTCTGTAGTAATATAAAAGCATATGTGGGGACCCTGGGCTTTGTGAGTAGAGGAAGAAGCTGGTCAAGATCACTCACTGCCTGCCATAATGAGGAAGCTTAGCTGCAGAATTATTAACACAGGAAAAAAACTTATCTGCCCCCCTGAGCTACCCACCCAGGTCTAAGGGTGTATCAAGACCTCATCCTGGATGGTAGCTAACGTCTACTGAGTGTGTACTACAAGAGGACATGACTACAAAGATGCATCTTTACAAAAACTTTGACAAAAAAGTATCATCATCCCCATTTTACAGGTGAGGAAACTAAGGGATAATTGTTAAGAAAGGTTATATGCCAGCTAATTAAAATGGAGCCAAGATTTGATTCCAAGATCACTGATTCCAGAGGCCTAGGTTTTTGGTCCCAACATGGGAAAATAGTCAACTGCAAAACTGCCAGCAGGATCTGACCAAACGGCTTTATTGGAGGACTGAAGTGCAGAAAAACAGAGGGTGCTTCAACTAAGAAACAGGAAATTACTAAATCCGCTCCCTGTATTCTGGTTCTGTTCAGCATCATTGACATACTCACTCACCTGCGGAGTGTGGGAGAGGCCACATCTGGGTACTTGGCTCCAGGCTGGAGAGTGGCCTGAGCTGGACTGGACATAGGCTGGGCTGCTGGGTTCACTTTCACCGAGTTACAGGAAGCCACGCTCTCGTTGTCTGATGATATGCCTTTCTCCTTATCTGTCTGGTTGATCAGGCCTGGTAGAGAGCTGCCTAGGGCTGTTTTGGAAGGCTCCCTCAGTTTGGGCACTGGCAGGCCTGCAGACTTGCTGCTGATGTTGGAATCTATGCTGCTGGTGCTAGACCTGTTCCCAGCCCCATTCCGGCTGTTGGACTTACTGGGCCTTGGCAAACTCCGGTACTGAAGGTTTGTCCGGGAGCTGAGGGACAGATACCCGTCGTCCTGATTCTGAACCCCGTCCATGCTTGACTTCCGACCAGCAGACCTACTGACGAGTGCTGACGACTTTGGGATTTTGCCCAGTGTGGCTGACCTGCTGGTAACAGTGGCCCCGCTGGCTGTGATCATAGCCAGACCGGCGGAACCACTCTGCTTCTTGAACCCAAAGCTGTTGGCATTGGCAGTGGGTGTCCTAGAGCTGCTGGGGAGGGGCTTTTTGGACTCATCACCACTGCTCCGGCCTGCATCTGATGGGGAGCGCTTCACCTGGGAGGCTTTTGGAGAAAGCCTTCCTTTCTCAGACACCTTTGCATCATCTGTTTTTCCTAAGAGAGAGATCAGCAAGATTAGCCTGCAATCCAAGAGCCCAGCTCATCCATCTCATCTGTTTAAGATGCTCCCCCTCCTCTGAAGAGCTGGTTCACTTTTCCCTTGGGG